ATGTGATCTATAATCACTGCCATCCTGCGGTTCCGCGGTAATTCGACCAGCTATTCCAGTCATCTCCTCCAGGGGTGTTCGTGGTTTGCAGATATATGTAAACCTCAATACAGACTTCATGCAGTTTCCACGAAATTATAAAAAAAAAACGGTCATTTGGTCCTTGGTCAGCTCCCTGTACTGCATCCGTCGTGTCCATGGGTCCTGTCAGTTTAATATATAATATATTTCCCATTAGATTTCCAAACATCTCATCGGGTCCTGGTCCTTGCTGATCTTGCTGTGTTGGAGGCTGCGTGTCCATGGGTCCTGTCAGTTTTTACATTCCAAGAGATTTCAAAACAATTCATCCGGTCCTTGCTGTCCTTGCTGAGCTTGCTGTGTTGGAGGCTGCGTGTCCATGGGTCCTGTCAGTTTTTACATTCCAAGAGATTTCAAAACAATTCATCCGGTCCTTGCTGTCCTTGCTGAGCTTGCTGTGTTGGAGCCGGCGTGGCCACGGGTCCTGTCATCTAGGATGCCATGTGGTTCAACAAGAAAAGGGCTGACCAACCCACGATGTTTTTAAGATGCAGCCGGGCTTTCCAACCCCTTAAGCGTGAAAAAATGCTTTCCAACCCCGGTGTTCCCGGTCCTCCTCCACCGAACTGGCCTTGGGTCATGTTGGGCACGTTTCCGCCGGGGGTGAAGACCCCGAGCGAAGCACCTTTCCATGCAAGCAAAACAATCCTACAGAATTAGAGGGCTCTCCAACCCAAAATTTTGAGACTCCAACGATGGTTCCTCATCCTCCTGGTGTGGTTCTCCGACATGAGGTGGCCATCCGTCACGTATGCGTTGCAAAGCAAGCAATACGAGCCGTCGTCGGCACACCAGTTCCCACCGTAAGTGGGTCCTGGTGTAGGGTCTCCTTGTGCTATTCAACCCAGGCTATCCAACCCTTGCTGGCCTGGGCTCTCCAACCCTTCAAATGCTACAACAAAAACCCCCAGGAGGCCTCCTTGTCCTTGCCCTGGCCAGCCACCCCATTGATTGACCATCTGGGTCACACTCGGCCATGCTCCTCCAGGGAAGTTTGCGGTTGCGGGGTATTCATGCCATTGTTTTTCATTCCCGCGATCATTCAAAAACATGTCATCCGGTCCTTGCTGTGTGCCCGTTGGTGGAGGCTGCGGTGAAGCCTTCGAAGTCGTTTGCAAAGAGAGTCCTGTCATCTACGATATAAGTTATCTCATGTGGTTCAACAAGAAAAAGCTGTCCAACCCATGATGCTTTAAAGATGTAGCCGGGCTTTCCAACCTCGTAGGGTTTAGGGTTTAGGGGTTTAGGGGTTTAAGCGTGCAAAGCTGGGCTTTCCAACCCACATATGCAGACCTGGGTTGGACAGCCCATGATGGTTTGGGGTTTCGGAATGGTCCTGGTGGTATTCCTGCACAGGGTGCTGCTGGGTCCACGTGTCCTGTCAGGGGAGGGTTTAGGGTAGTAACCACCGTCCTTTGCATAGGGCCTTGCCCCCCTGACTAATTAATTTTCAGAGGAACTTTAGGAAATCAAATACGGTTTGGTTTGGAAGATATGAAACAAAGTATGCAGGAAAGTGTGGTTGGGTTTTAACAACGTGAATCAAAGTCTGGCTTGGGTTTCGGGATGTAAAAGAAAGTGTGGGTTGGGACTGCTAATTACAAGCAATAACTACAATGAGTCTAAGGCGAGGGAAGGAAGTGGGGGGTAAGGGATGAAACGGGGTCGCTGAATGTGACACATCCAGGTGCCTGTCTGTTTCACGCGTTACATGCACGGATGCATGCTTGCTGCTCATCAAGGTTCTGGCAGAGTATTGACTACAGCTGTGAGCCTGTAGAAGAAAGAGACTCTTTCGTTGTTTGTGTAGGCTTGTACCTCTGCGAGCGTCTTCCCGCCCAGGTTACATCTCAAAGGGGAAGGTAGGGGGGGGGGGGGCGGAAGAGCGGCCGGGGAGGGCCCCGGGAGCGTTTCGGCTCTCTCGTTTTTCCTTAGGTTGTCTCGCCTCCCGGCCTCCTGGGCGAGGCCTTTTGTCCACTCGTTGTTCTCTTTTGTTGTTTTTTCTCTCTTTTTGTTTCTCATTTATTTCTCTTTTTTTTTCTCATTTTATTTCTCTTTTTTTTCTGTTTTTTTCCTTATTTTTTCCTTATTTTTCCTAAGGCTCTCCTAAAAAACCAGACCCGGGCCAGGTCCGAGCCGGCCTGCCTGGAAATGTGAAAAAAAACCTGATGGGAAACGTGGCTCCGGAAGGACCCCGCGCAGAGAAATGTGACTCCGCCCGGAGGCAAATGCGCCAGGACTTAAGCTTGTGGTGCCCCCCTGTCCCTGCTGCCTGGGCCTTTGGGCCTTCCCCTGCCGGGCTCGACTCTCTACGCACAGCAGCCCCGACGCGTTCACCGCTGAGCTGCTGGGTTGTTCTGGCCGCAGTTCTTCTTGCTTGGCGAGGCTTACACCGATGCATGTACAATCTAGCATCTAGACTACGTTGGTGACTCGCTTCTAGGTCGTTCATGCAATCCAAGAAGGCAACATCAGCAAAGTTTAGGTGGGGTGAAAGAAGTCGAGTTCCGATAGCCCCGCCGGAACACAACAATGTCCACGGATTGCGTGTTAGTGTTTTCTTCTGCACATGCCAAAAACTCCGTCAGATCGTGCATTCTTTATGTACAGAATACAATGGAGAAACACAGGTTCACATCTTATTTGATATTGGTATACAGACCTCGCATTCTCTGCCACATTTTGCTTTACAATCATTTCTCTGAATCACATTTCTTTTCATATTTCCATTCCTGTGAAATACTTTTTTCCATACTTTCACCCAGACAGTCTCCAGGAATTAATTATATTGGAAAACCTTGCCTATGCAAGGCCGTGGGGATTACTAGTTTAGGGTTTAGGGTTTAAGGGATTAGGGGTTTAGTTGTGCAAAGCTGGGCTTTCCAACCCACAAAAACACATATGCAAACCTGGGTGCTGGTCCTGCTGCGAGTGCTTCTGCCCATGGGTCCACGTGTCCTCCTGCCCCTGGGTCCACGTGTCCTGTCAGGGGGGGTTTAGGGTTTAGGGTTTAAGGGATTAGGGGTTTAGGGGTTTTGTTGTGCAAAGCTGGGCTTTCCAACCCACAAAAACACATATGCAAACCTGGGTGGTCCTGGTGGGAGTGCTCCTGGGTCCACGGGTCCTGTCAGGGGAGGGTTTAGGGTATAGGGTTTAAGGGATTAGGGGTTTAGGGGTTTTGTTGTGCAAAGCTGGGCTTTCCAACCCACAAAAACACCTTTGCAAACCTGGGTGCTGGTCCTGCTGCGGGTGCTCCTGGGTCCACGGGTCCTGTCAGGGGAGGGTTTAGGGTATAGGGTTTAAGGGATCAGGGGTTTAGGGGTTTTGTTGTGCAAAGCTTGGGCTTTCCAACCCACAAAAACACCTTTGCAAACCTGGGTGCTGGTCCTGGTGCTGCGGGTGCTCCTGGGTCCACGGGTCCTGTCAGGGGAGGGTTTAGGGTATAGGGTTTAAGGGATTAGGGGTTTAGGGTTTTGTTGTGCAAAGCTTGGGCTTTCCAACCCACAAAAACACATATGCAAACCTGGGTTGGTCCTGCTGGTCCTGGTGCTGCGGGTGCTCCTGGGTCCACGGGTCCTGTCAGGGGAGGGTCTAGGGTTTAGGGGATTAGGGGTTTAGGGGTTTTGTTGTGCAAATCTGGGCTTTCCAACCCACATAGTCATAAATTATAGGGCTGTCCAACCCATCATGGTTTGGGGTTTCGGGATGGTCCTGGTGCTGCGTGAGGCTCCGGCGCTTGCTGGCCCATGGGTCCTGTCATCAGACATGCACTTCAGGGTTCAGGGTTTAGGGTCATCCGGGTCCTGGGTGTGCGTGAGGCTGCTGTGCTGGCTGGTCCATGGCTCCTGTCCACATGCACTGTACCCATTATGGTTCAGCCTAGGGTTTAAAGTCATCCGGGTCCTCCGGCTCCGTCACTTCCTCCTTGCTGTGCCTGCTGGTCCATGGGTCCTGTCATCAGACATACACTTATATCAGGGTTCAGGGTTTAGGGTCATCCGGGTCCTGCGTGAGGCTGCTGTGCTGGCTGCTCCGTGGATCCTGTCCGCATAAACGACATGTCCTACCCATTATGGTTCAGGGTTCAGGGTTAAGGGCCTAGGGCTTAAGATCATCCGGGTCCTCGCACGGCTCCGTCACCTCCTCCTTGATGTGTATGCTTGTTCCTGGGTCCTGTCATCAGACATAAGATTTCAGGGTTCAGGGTTTAGGGTCATCCGGGTCCTGCTTGAGGCGGCGGTGGTGGCGGGTCCATGGATCCTGTCCACATACACTACATACGTCCTACCCATTATGGTTCAGGATTCAGGGTTAAGGGCCCAGGGTTTAAGGTCATCCGGGTCCTCGGCTGGCTCCGTCACCTCGTCCTTGCTGGTCCATCTGCTGCTCTGCTTGCTGGTCCATGGGTCCTGTCATCAGACATACATTGTCCTACTCATTCTATGGTTTAAGATTTCAGGGTTCAGGAATTAAGGTTTAGGGTCCTGTCAGGGTTCAGGGTTTAGGGTCGTCCGGGTCCTGGTTCTGCGTGAGGCGGCTGTGCTCCTTGGTCCATGGCCATGGGTCCTCTCAAGGGTCTCAGGCGTAAATGTTAATCCAGGGTGATGCTGCTGGTCCGGGGGTCCTGCCATCCAACTTCTAATAATCTCATGGTTCAAAAAAATGCCGGGCTGTCCAACCCTTGATTCTTCATAGATGTAGCTGGGCTTCCGAACCCACATATTCAGATCGGGGCTATTATTGTCACGGTCCTCCATCTCCACCTCCGTGGGCCGTAGAACTCCTCGGGGACCATGTCCTGCAACAGTACCCCAAAAAGTTCTTGTACTGGGCTTCCCAACCCATTATATGCATCGGGTCCTGTCGGACGGTGGTGGTGGCAACTCTTGGTTCCACCATGGTGGTGGAGCACTGCGGGCCTGGTGGGTTTGGTACCACTCTTCGATGGCCCATTCCAGCCAGTTCCAGTACTCCAGGTCCGTGCCCGATTGGGTCCTGGCATAGACCAAGTCCTCAGGTGACGATACATCTTACATGGTAAAGTTCTTTCTATTACACATACTGTCAAAATCCTGCAAGAAAAAATCAACATCTTTTAAACTCGATCCAAGCTCCAGGTAGTTCCTGGCGGACTGGCAGTTCCCTTTCGGGATCCCAGTCCTCTCCCGGAGGTACACCTCAGTTTAGTGATGGCGTGGCAGTCCAAGGGCTTTCCAACCCACATGCTTCAAACACCTTCCAAGATCTGGGCTGTCCAACCCTTCAAATAAATGCTGTCCAGGATCGCAGAGGCCCTCCAACCATTGGGCCCATGGCGTTCGAGGCTCTTCCTCGTAGCTAAACCACAGGTGGCGGGCATTTTCCCGCCATATGTTTTGCGGGACACCTCCGCTATCCTTCCCGTGGCGTCCGGGACCTTTACCAGACATGCTTGCAGCTCGAGCCGCTTAAGCAGCCGGCTCGATGCATCATTCACATCCATGGGCTTTCCAACCCCTTAAGCGTGAAAAAGCTGGGCTTTCCAACCCACATGTGTGCAGACCCGGGCTGTCCAACCCAATATGCTTTGGCTTATATAAGCGTGCAAAAGCTGGGCTTTCCAACCCACATATGCAGACCTGGGCTGTCCAACCCATGATGGTTTCGGGTTTGAGGGTTGAAGGTGTAACGATTTTTTGCGGTACATGGGGGGGGGTGGGCGGGGGTAGCAATTTACTTTAAACATTTCGGGCTAGATATATATTATGAATTAATGGAAACTCACGGAATCCGAATGTTTGTTTCACACGGCAGGGCGATGAATACGGATGCCGCCATCCGTCCGATCACAGCTTGCTCAGCAAGCGTCTCTTCATGGTCCTAACCTCATCCAAGGTTGTGCCATTCCTGAGCTCCTTGAGCAACTTCTCGATCATTGTTCTGGCATCCTCGAGCTTCTTGGTCTGGACTTGAATGACCCTCGGTAGTTTTGAAGCAATCGTGGTGCTAAGCCCCTTTTCCAAGCTAGAAATCCTACAGGGCAGACTGGCAAACTGAACATGAAAAAGATGCACTCAAGTCCCAGCCGCTGTCTTCCATCAGGTCCAATCCTCAAAGCACTTGCAGCACGGCCCTTGTAATCCATGATGATCAACTTCTTCACCTGCTCCTGCCATGTACTGATACATGTTGGTTTAACCATAACAGCTATACATGCCTATCGCGGACAGGGATGTCCTTGGTCAAGCTTTGCATGGGCGGATACCGGCGTCTCTTCTTCTTTCCATCCTTGGCCTTGCCAGATCTAGCTTCTACGAGTTTAGGATTCAGTGTTTTATGTTTCTTAAACTGTCTCCATCCTAGCTTCTACGAGTTTAGGATACAGTGTTTTATGTTTCTTAAACTATCTCCATCCTCCTTCTTCTTCGTGGGCTCGACTTCCTTTGCGGCTGCCTTTCCTTTTTTCTTCGGGTCCTGGAAAGTTTAGGATTCAGGGTTTTCAAGCATTAGTTGTAAACCAAACAAACTGTTATGTCAATCCTGCTTCTTCGTGGGCTCGGCCTCCTTTGCGGCTGCCTTTCCTTTTGTCTTCAGATCCTGGAAAGTTTAGGATTCAGGGTTTTCAAGCATTGTAAACCAAACAAACTGGTTATTTCAGTCCTTAGAGCTCGGCTTCTTCATCACAAGCTCCTTCAAGTCTGCTTTCTTTGCAGGAACTGGCGAGCAGTCGTTGGCAGCCTGGCTGAAAGAGCCCTTCACGGTCGACGGGGTCTGCGGGGTCTGCGGGATCTCCAAGGCCTTGATTTTGTCCAAATAATCCACCCCAGAGACACGTCGCTTGGGTGTCTGCGGGATGGGATCCTCTTCCTCCACTTTCTTTCTCTTTTTCTTGACATCTTCCACTTCCTCCTCCCTTTCCTCCTGCTCCTTTGCCTTCTCCTTGGAAGTCACACTTCCTTCATCGTTTCCTACAACCATGTTCCTTACCTTTGCGAGCAGGGCCTTCTCGTGATTCGTGAGTTTGGAAGAAGCCTCACGGTACCGCACTTCGTCTTTCATCCTGCGGGCATGGGTGAAGACTGTCATCAGCGTCTCGCTCGTCTTCCTGGCCCACTCTCCTTTTCCTAAATCATCTCCAAAATAACACATAACAAGCTGCAGGGCTTCCTTTATATCATTGAACTTGAACTGAAGGGACTCTTCAACCTCGTGGCAGGCGGTGATCAAGTCCAGGGCTTTGACCAGCCCCCGACCACTCGCTGCAGCGCTTCGTTGCAGGTGCCCGTAGGGCGACAACTCGAAGCTTCTTGCCAGCCCTGCGTTCCTCACATACTCCTTCAAGGCTTCTCCCAATGTCTGCGAACACACATCCGCCTTTGGGAAGTTCCTTGGACCTCCTCGGCCCGGACCATTCTCCCGTTTGGGGGACATGGTTCCTACAGGTTTGCCTCTCGCTTGAACAGCTACACCTGCACAGAAAACCATACAATCAAATAAGCTTCCTTCCTGCATGTTCTACAAAATCCAGCATAGATCCTGGGCTGTCCAACCCACATAGACAGCGAACATCGACCTAGCCGTGATGAATCGGGGAACTATAACAAACGTGTTGCATGTGTTTCTCTGCATGTGCACATGCTTTAAACACCATACAATCAAATAAGCTTCCTTCCTGCATGTTCTACAAAATCCAGCATAGATCCTGGGCTGTCCAACCCACATAGACAGCGAACATCGACCTAGCCGTGATGAATCGGGGCACTAGAACAAACGTGTTGCATGTGTTTCTCTGCATGTGCACATATGCTTTAAACTTTAGCTAGATCATGCAATCCAGTAATTTCAATAGCAATAATTTCAAGAGAAAATCGACCATAAAATCAATAGAAAATCGCAAATAAAATCAATAGAAAATCACAAATAAAATCAATAGAGAATCACAAATAAAATCAATAGAAAATCCATTCTAAAATCAATCGAGGAGACAGTCGTGAAATCAATCGAGAATCCTGAAACTAGGCCACGATAAAATCAATAGAATGCAATGTCAGAAATCAATCGAACCCGACCCAACAACAGCATGCGATTCGATTGAAAAACACCAAAATCAATAGGGTTTTGAATTTTTTAAAAAATCAAGCGTTCGATTGAAAAAAATCAATATCGGATGCTCTGGGTGGTTGCATGCTCGGTGAAAATGTTGTCCATGAACGGACCTAGCGGATCCTTATTGCACGCACTGGGGATCACTGGGGTATTGGGACTGTCGCTGACCTTTTCTTTTCCAGATCTCTCATGTTGCAGGCGAGCGCAATTTTGTTGCGGACCAGCTTAGCCGTGGTCGCGTTCCTGATTACTTGCATGAGTCACACAGACCGTCGCCAGATGTTGGTGAGTTGGTGGGTTTTTGCGGGCTCCAACTCTTGAGCCTTTCGATGCCATGCGGCGTGAACCCTGAAACACTAAATCCTGAGTCCCCGGAGCATGCAAGCCCGAGAACCTGTCATGAGCTATATACAATGTTTAGACAATGTGACCATTGTGACCCCACACCCGAAACCATAAAGCCTCCAAGCACCAAACCTTGAACCTTCCACAAAAGTCGAAGCCTCTGTACAGACCCTGAGCCCGGCAGTTGTAAGGCACCACATATATATATATATATGTGTATATCCGTGTATATATCTATGTGTATAAACAAATAAATATATGCATATACTGTTGGGCCTCTGAGGTGAGCCTGCTGAAGAGGGCCGGTGCCCGCGACAAGCTGAGCCTCGATGACGATGCCGCGGTGCATGTTTGTTTAGGGGTCATGTGGGGGTTTCCGGATTCCGTAGAGGTTTTGGGGTGCAAGAGTTTTGGGTGAGAGGTAGGTTGATGCATGTTTACTGCTGTTTACTAGTGGGTTAGGCCCTCAGCAGACTCTTCAGAGCTGTCGCGGCAGCCAGGAGGAGGAAGAAGAGGAGGCAGAAGGCACCACACCGGCCTCCGGAGGCTTCGCATTGGGATTCTTTTTGGGTTTTGTCTTTAAGGGTCCTGTCAGGGGCTGCAAGGGTTTCACAAGGGACTCAGCGTTAGGGTTTATTGAGCGTTTCAGTTTTTGGGGGGCTGCCTGAGGAATGTTGGTGGGGTGTATATTTCGCTTTTGTTTCTCATGGGGATTCTGCGAGCATTCCTCACAGTTCCTTGAGAATTTTTCCGGCCAAGAGTTTCGGCAGCCATGTTGTTGAGGGGTTCAGGAGCTTGGGGTTTCGGGTTTAGGGCTAAGGGTTTAGCCCGTATGCCGTCTCCTGATTTTGAACCCTAAGCCCCAAGCCACATGAACACGTGACACCGACCTCAAACTCAGAAGCGCTTGCACTGCAACGTCAGTTGAAACTTCAACCTTGAGTAACCCTAGATCATCTCGGAACCAGGGCCTGCCCCAGGTTTTCCTAAGCCTGAACCCGAAAGCGCTCTATAACGCCGACGCTGCTGTGAGTCGGGAGGTAAGCTGAAGTTGCCGAGCCCAGATATTGAGACAACTTCCTGCAGGGAGCTCGGTCTCCTTTGTTTAAATTTCAGGTTCAGGGTATAGGCTTAAACCCTGATAAGGCTTAGGTTTTGGAGGAAGTTTTGGCTCCAGTGGTCGTTTGCTGAGGTGCCAATCATCCAGGGTTTGGCGTCCCGCGCCCCAGACCCTCAAGCAGAAACGCTTGCACAGAACACGTGGAGATTTTGCTGAAATATCAAACGTTTTTCGTGGTTCTGGGTGCCAGCCAGTAATGGGTAGAGGGACTTTTCGAACTTCAGGGACCTCCCGAGCATTGCCGCAGACCAAGCAGAAGCAACACTCGGCGGCCCTATGCTGGATCGCATATCGCCCTGTGCATGAAAAGCCTCACGAGATCTTAATCCGCAAGCTCGGGCAAACTGATCTGCGCATAAGATGATGCGCTCAGCTGAGTCTTCGTTTGGAAGATTCTGGATCTACTGTTCACTTCATTCTACTGTGCCTGCTATTGCTGTTGCGACTATTGCCAGGACTCATGAGGAGAGGGCATTGCATTGCTATGCTGCTTATACAGCTAAGGATAAGACTACTGATGGTGGTCATGATACACATGGTTCTATCAACATTACCCCATAGACCCCTGAAGCCGTAAAAGCCCTGAAACCTTCAACTCTGTACCCGAGACCCTTCTCTGTGCCCTCTTCAGCCCAGCTTTTCGGAAGCCCGAAAAGCGAATCCAGGTGCCGAGTCCCTTTCGACAGAGGCAGGATTGCAGGGTTACAGGGTTTTCCTTTAGAGTTACAGGGTTACAGGGTTTAAGCTTCTGAGGTTTCGGAGGGTTTAGACCGGCTTGTAGACGGCTTGCAGGGTTTAAGTGTAGCTTGAGGTCAGGTTTCGAGGACTTGCACACTTTAGTGGGCCTCAGGGTAGAGGCTCCATGTTTTTGTTGTTGCAGTTGTTTGGCTTTCGCGCTTAGGCGGGACCATGAAGGGTTGTGCAAGGTTTCAGTGTGCAAGGTTTCTGGTCTCACAAGGGCTTCTGTACCGTGTTTTCAAGGTTCTGGGTTTCGGGTTTCTGGAGGTTGCATTGTTTTTGCTTGGGTTTGGGTCTATTGCTTCATGAACTAAGCTCCATAAATTTCAGACTCCTTACAGAACCTCAAGGAACCCTTTGAAGGAACTCCTCAAGGAACCTTCTTCCAACTATTAAGGGCCCCCTTGAACGAGCTTGTTCAGGCACCGGGGCTGAGTCCTGAGGCGGCTGTGCCTCCCTCAGGGCAGGCTTCAACTTCTTTTCCTCGCGGTGCTGTGGGGTTCTATAAAGTTTAGGCTGTTTTGGGGTTATGGGGGGTTTTTGGTATGGGATTCCAACGGAACTGTTTCAACAGTTTAGGGTTTAGGAGTTGCGGTTCAGGGTTACTGCGTGTTTTTTTCCAGTTGTTGTGGGTTTCACCGGTGTCTTTATGGGGGGGCCTGGAGTGCGTGAGAGCTTTTTCATCAGGGCTCAGGGGGTTCAGGTCTTTTCGGGTGTCATGTTTTTAAGATGTAGGGTTGGAGGTTCGGTTGGGTAGTAGGGTTGTGATTCTCCCCGCTACTGTGCTGTTTCAGCCAGACCCCGAACGTCTATTGAGAAAGTTACCCCGTCAGGTTTTAAGTGCTAGTATTGGTATACAGTTGAGCATTGTGAGGGCGCCCTACACCAGAGTGCAGCAACTCGAGGGGACGATCGAAGCGCTCCAGGAGCAGTGCAGAATGGTGCAACGTCGACCTTTAGCTTTTCTATTATTCTACGAGCCTCATGCGACCAAGATCTGCTGAACTATACGCAGGAGGATGTTGCTTCGACACATCTACTAGGCTCCGGGACTGCGCAGGCAGCTACAAGAGCAGTGCTTGCTCGAGTTGCCCAACTTGCACCGTCTCTCCGGCGGGGGCTTCATCCGCTGTTTCCCGTCTCCTACCGCTGGCATCGTTGAACTCCAGTCTGGCCAAAGCAAGGTCCCTGGGCCCTCCTCTGCCCCCTTGGCAACATGGCCTTTGCTGGGAGTTCCCTGTGCAAGAAACCCAATGCATACGACCCTGAATGCCTGCTTGGAGCCAAGCAGACAAAGCATCACCAACCAAAACACGCATCCCTTAGCCCTGTGACCCCCTGCAGGCCCGACAAGCCAAACAGCAAGGATTCGAGTCATAGCCCAGAAACAGAAACAGCAAAGGTGCGATTTCCGTCAACAGCCACTCGATGGCTCGGAAGAGGATGTTAGCCCACAGCCGGCCCCTACAAAGGCTAACAACAGAACCTTTCATGTAGACCCCAGTGCAGTCTGCATATCACGCGTATACGAACTCACAGAAGTCCCGGTGCCAACAAAGACTCGAATATCCACCCTTGTAATTCTGAGCCCAAACCCCAGACAATGATCCGAAAACTTGTAACACCTTCTCAAACCCTAACCCGAAACCTCACACCCTAAACCCGAAGCCCCAGAACCTCTAAACGCTGTTTTTGGCCGTCTCGGAGCTTGCGGCTCCTTGAGGAGAGTGCTTTGTCACCCGCCTCTGCCTTAAGCCGGGGCCTCGGGAAGCTTTGGAATTTATGATTGTTATGATGATGTTGAGTCTTTCTGTGTTATTTTTGTTGGCCACTAGAGACCACGACGACGAGCACGGCAATATTAAAACCACTGCCACAATCACCTCCGACCTTCGCGGCAACTGAGATAGGAGAACTGCTAGCTTGTGAAGTGCCCTCCCACCGTGATGAGGTGCGGCAACTGCAGGATACCCAGCTGACGCAGATCAGGCCGCGTGAGGGGTGTTGCTCCCGATCCGGAGCCGAAGCGGGATACTAGGGCTCTGAGTGTCGGCTTCAGATGACTCCCGTTTTCTGATGTTTCGGAGCACAAAGCTTCATGGATCCGACGCTAGTCTGTTCTTCCACTACTTTAAGCACCTGTCATTAGTCCCAGAAGTTTCTGACGTGGCAGCCCGCTGTCCGCCCTACACCCTTGCAATCTTGGAATTTTCTCGTCCCGTAACCTACCGGCTTAAACCTTAGGCCCTTAGATCCTTAGCCCTGGGGCCTAGCGAACCCTGAACTCAACGGAATAACTCTGATGAGGCCTTGAGCCACAGTTGCGGCATGCAACGACGCGACCGAAGCTTGAGCAGAATGCTACACCCCGAGCTCCGAACTCAGAGAATACCAAACTTCAAACCTCAACCATAAACCCTCCCAAGTCCCTAAGCCTGAAACCCAAACAGAACCCAACAACTCTCAACTCACATCTCGCCGTGGCAGACGCCGGGCGCGAAGAAGAAGGTTGCGAAAAAGAAGCCGAAGGAGTGACATGAACCCGTACATGACTTTCCTCCAAACGCATGAGGGCTTGGATGCCGAGGGCCTGCGGGTTCTCGGGGTTCAAGTCTATATCGTAGCGAGTGTTGGGGCGAGGGCTACTGAGCAGGAGGAAGGTTCAGGGCGTGGTTTCAGCTTTATGGATGTAGGGCACCAACTCTATCCCTTCAGGCTCCTTTCTTTATGAGTATACGGAAGTATACCCCATGCCCCCTAATCCTAGTCCAACTATGCTTCAGAAGAGACCCTATTCCTTCGACCCCAAACCCTAACTCCCAGTTCTTCAACACAGACATGGGTTCAGGCTTTGGGGCTTCGGGTTTAGGGGTTAGTTCTTAGGGCCTTAGGGTTTAAGGGAGGTTTAGGGATATTGAGGCAGCATGCCGCAGCGAGACTGTGCGAGGAGTGCAGCGTGCATTGTCCAGAACCAAGAAGCCTAGCACCCTGGAAGGAAGTAGTAAGGCTCCTTTGCTAGGCCATATAAACCTCTAAAGAAGCTCTATCACCCCCTCCAGAAGACCCTGTTTTGATTCTGACAAGCACCTGCCCCCCTGTCGGCACATTGCCTTAAACAGTTATTTTTAAATGTTTTTTTGACTCCATAATCTCGAAGCCCGTCAAGTTCAGAAGGAAACCGTATTTGTAAGCCCATACCCCAATTGCGTCCTCATGCGGGGACAGGGCCATTGTAAAAAAGAGCCCTAAGCCCTCAACCCGAAACCCGTAAACCTTAAACTACTAAAAAGCAAACCCTAAGCCCTAAACCACTTTCCCCGTAGCAAAGCGGGGCGTGCTGATTTAGTGTATGCCCTTTTCTGGGTAGGCGTGCGCTGGATAAAGGAGCGTCGTTGCACTTCCACAAAATCCCACCCAAAGAAGCAAAGCCCTAAACCACCCAATAAACACGAAACCCCAAACCCGAAACCCTAAACTCTTAAACAAATCCCAAAACCCTAAACCCTCCCCAAAAAAGCAAAGCCGTAAACTCTTAAAAGAACCCTTAAGCCCTAAACCCAAGATCATCTTTTTCTTACCCCGATCTGCGGAAAACCGAAGGAGGGAGACGAAGCCTCGCCCAGCGACGGAGCTTGGGCCACAGCGAGCCTCCGGGCTTCGGGTTTAGGGCTTCCTGCCCAGGGTTTTGTAGTTAAACCCCTGGGGGTTTACGGTTTAGGTGTCGGGTTTGCGGTTTAGGGTTTAGGAGTTTCGGGTCTAGGGTTTCGGGTTAAGGGCTTCGGGCTCAGGGTCTTATTTGGAACTTAAGGCCCCCCCGGCTTCAGCTGGATTGATATGGAGTTTGTGTATGGATGTGTAGGACTTTGCTGCAGGGTTTTCGTACCGTTTTCTCTTTAGGAGGGTGGGCTAGGGGTCATAGTCTTGCATGTTTGTTAGGTTTCGGGTTGTTTCGCAGCTAGAGAGTTGTTTTTGACATGCTTCAAGTTCTGATTCGAGATGCGGAACACAATCGTACCCACCAAGGGATCGAACCCCCTAAACCCTAAAGCCCGAAAGCACCTAATGCCCTGAACTTGAGATTTTTGAGTTCAAAGGTTTAGAGGATGTGACGGTTCATTCGGGCGGCTGAGGAATCCTGCAACGCCAAACGCCAGCTGCAAGCCGCCTTAAACCCCCAAGTTCCGAAAGACCCTAAACCGCCTATCCTGAAGACCCTGAACCCTCAAACCTTAAAGCCCTGAATCCCAAAATCCTCGGATGTAGGATCGAAGGCATTCTAAGGACCTTCTATATCAAGCCTTTGCCGAGGCCGCGAAGAAGACGAAGAAGAAGGCCATTGCCGATCGGTACTTTGGGCGGTTTAGGGTTTAGGGAGTTTTGGGGTTTGGGATCTTTCCGGTTCAGGGTTTGGGGCTTAGGGTTCGTTCTGGGGTTTTGAGGGACGGTCGGTTGCTGAATCGGCCTGTCAGTGGTATTGGGTTTGGTAACGTTACAAGTAAGATCGGAAGCAAAGCATGATTCCGAAAGAATTTCAAGATGTTTTTCCGTACCATCATTGCGCTACCGATGCTTAGGATGAAGGATGCGGTCTTGGCTTATCAACAGGCTTTCTACTAGCTGCATTGCGGTAAGGAGTGACAAAGTTTGAAACTCTGCAGGCAGCAGATTAAACGGTTGATGCCGGTGCCGATGATGGCGGTGCTGTTGATGGGGCAAGTGCTGGTGGTGATGCTGCTGCTGATGATGATAGTGCTTCTCATGTTGACGCTGCCGTGATCGTCCGCTCACGGTGATCCCGACGGCGATCGTGTTGATGTTAGTTATTGACTTGATGATGATGTCGACAGTGGTGGTGCTTCTGGGGCTGGAGATGGTGGCGGTGATGATGCGACGCTGCTGTTGACCCATCCCATGGGAAGAGGCTGTGATGGTGATGAGGATGATGATGGCCACGAGTGTTGCAGCAAAAACGAAGCAGACGCAGTGGTGATGGCGGTCAGGTTGATGACTATGGTCATCTCGATAACCAGCAGAAGGTTTGTTCCTAAATACTGGTAGTACGAGTTTCTGCATTTCCTGTGTTTGCATTTCCTGTGTTTCCTCGACGAGTAGTCTCTATGCCGCCTCTATGCCCGTATCCAACCGCTTGCTGTTGCTGCCAAACTAAGTGTGTAGACTGCTAAGGTGAATGCTCAACCACTTGGAACCCTTCAACGCTCACAGGACGGCGATGCCGCCAAGGGCGAGAAGACCACGACAAAGAAGAAGAAGGTGCCTGCGGCAAACTCCGACACCTGCACGAGATTTTGCTGCAAGCTTTCAAGACCGGGTGCTAAATCACTCGGGTGCCAAATCACCCGCATCTACATATCAATCAATCAATCTGCCTATCTAGAGAAATATGTAGAGGTGCGATGATATTACAAGCAGACAAGCAAACAGCTCTATCTGCACCCACACACCCACATCTATCTATATAGATACAAATATGTATGAGCAATGTATGAGCAATATATATATATATATATATCCAGATATTTGTGGGTATATGCATATGTGTGTTTTTTCTGTGTAAGAACATAATGGCTTTTCGGCCCATGAAACCCTTACGGCGCGAGAAGAAGCTCGATTCTTTTGCCAGGCCAAGGCAGACACTGGACTGGGCGAGAGGGGCATGATGGAGGTCGGGGACTGAGGGTCCCTAAGCCCGTTCCTGTAAGGGCTTAAGGTGAAGCGTTTTGGGTCTTCATACGGATCTAGGACTTGAAGGTTTCGTAGGGTTTCTTGCAAGGGTTTCGCAGGGTGTGACAAGGGTTTAGGACACAGACTGTCGGGATTCAGGGTTCTATCCTTGCGGACGTTAGGAGGGTTGTCACTAGTCTCGGGGAAACCCCAAGCCCTAATACCCTATAGCCCTGGCCCTCAAAGCGCACAAAACCCTAAAGCCCCAGCTCCTCAAATCCCGAAGGCCTAAACCATAGTCTGGAGTGACGGAATGTCCTCGAGTCCTTGCATTCGCTAGGCCGTGGCAGCTGACGTCGACACGCCAATCACCGTCCAGGCAAGCTTTTGCACATCATTTTGCCTTGGGTTTCTGAGGCCAGCTAAGATTCAGAAAACCCAAATCAACCCACCGATTTACTTGGGTAGAGTGGCTCATTTTGGGATTCCGGGCTGCAAATCCTCATCAAGCAACGCTGGAATCCTACCGAGCACCCACAATCCCAATTTGGAGTTGAAAGCGTGGTGCTGCTGCAGCAGTAGCAGCAGTAGAAGTCGCAGCAGCAGCAGTAGCAGTAGCAACAGTTCGTAGGTGAAGCAATGGCCACCACAACTGCAACAAGAACAAACGAAGGAATGCCAACGGCCCTAGTTGAGAAGGAACTGGACCTATTGTTAGGACAGGGTCCTGGCTGGTTCTGAATTCTGCCTCTCTGAAATTCCAGATCCGGGGTTGCAATTTCGATTTCAGTATGGGGGATGCCTGGCGCTACCGGCGATCGGCCGCAGGAGCCGTCGGAGAAGAAGGAAGAGGTGCAAGGGGTCGGGATGAGCCATGCCAGCACAGTTTACGTTTCCCAAGACGGCTCCGAACTCTGTACCCTTTAAACCTCACACCCTAAACGACCCAAAATTGTACAGTAAATTGCAGACCCTACTAAAGCCACTCTCCTGAAGGCCCGCAACCCTACAGCCCTGCAGGCCCATGGTCTCCCCAACACCAAAAACAGCACAGCAGACTTTAAGCACAACGTCCCTGAAACGATTCGTTCCAGCACGGAGAAGGTCTTCAAGAAGGGACAGTAGTCTTACTAGTATTCCGATAGTGAGGAAATGCAGGGAACACAGCGAGGACATGATCGCCAAACCGAGTGCTCCTAATGTCTGCAGACTGCGTCTATCTATTGCTGAGATTCGATCTTATTCGGGCAAATGCTTGCAGGTCTACCTATCTATCCATCCATCCGTCCATCCGTCCGTCCGTCCGTTTGTCGATCCGCGGTGGTATTGCTACTAGTGACTAGTGCAGTAGTGCATAGTAATCCTGGTCAGGCATATCTGTGTGAGCTTCCTTGGAGTCGTGTTGCACTGTACAAAGAGATGGTGCCGGGCAGTCGATGCATGAAGCTTCTAGAATGCTCAAGGTTGAATCTGAAGGCGCACTTCTAGAGCAGTGTAGCCCTCGCTGTTCCCTTAGCCCTAAACTCCTGGAACCCGAAACCTTAAACCACCAACACCTGGACTCTGAAGCCTGCGTCCCGAACCAAAAAGCTTAAAAGCCTAGCACAGACCCACAAAACCCACAATACAGCACTCATATTCAAGACCTTCAAGATTGAAATACCCCACCCGCAAACCATAAAGCTGCAAACTGTGCAAACTTAAATCCTGAGCCGTAAATCTGAAAGTCCGCTGGACATTTCTGCAGCAGGTAGTGCAGCCTGCTGGCCCCAGTGACGAGGAGCTTGCAAAAGCCGCCGAAATGAAGAAGGCATCCAAGGGAAGTTGGGGGTTTGGGGCTTAAGGGTTAGGGGTTTGAGGGTTTAAGGTTCAAGGGTTTAGGGTTTACATTGTTTGCTCTTCAAAGAAAGTCTTTGGGTTTGAAGTGGGGTGCTAGGTTTAGGATGTAGGGTTGCAGGCCAAATAACCCTGTGAAGCCTTGTGCCGCATGGAACCTCTCTGAAGAACCTTAAGTAACCTCGACAAAAGTGGAGGAACCCTAAACCCTAATTCCGCAAATTTTGAGACCGCAAGCCCCAGACCCTTGAAACGCTGAAGGAACCCCTCACAGGTAGGGGAAGCCCTATACAAGGCCTTTTCCTTCTGCTTATGGTACCAAACCGCTAAACCCACACCCTGGCCCTAAACCCAAAACGAACACTTTAAATTGCCCAAAAGAGCCTTGTAGCAATCCCAAATTGACGTAAGAGAACCCCCCAAATTTCATGAAGAACCTCGCAGCAAAACCCAAAACTTCCAAAACAACCTCACAGCAACCCAAGATTTCAATAAACAGCTTCATAACAACCCAAAGTTCCAAGAACAACCTTACAGCAAGCCTAAACCCTCAACCCCTGAACCCCTAAAACCCCCAAACCCCTAAGCTCTAAACCCCAAAGGCCCCAATTTCGAGTTTCCGAAAATGGGGGACCTTAATACAGTACCCTAAATAGTAGGATCCTTATTATTATTATTATTATAAGGCCCCCAGAATAAGGTACCCCCCAATTTTCGGAAACTCTAAACCCTAAAACCTTTATAGAACCCTTCTAAATCCCTTTAGGAACCCTTAAAGGGCTCCCTTTCAAGGTACCCCCCCAATTTTCGGAAACTCCCAAATTCGTCGCCCTGGGACCCGAGGCCAAGGAGAAGGCCTCGGCAGAGTTGAACGAGGCCTCGGCGGCCGGAGACGTGAAGAGGCGCGCGCGCGAACTCGAGGATCCCCTAATTTGGGGCCCTATACTGGTATAAGGGTACTTTATAGGAACCCCCATTAAGGGCCGGAGACGTGAAGAGGCATGCGCGCGCTCTCCGGAGGTCTGTTGGGTTTAAGGGGTTAAGGGTTTAGGGTCTGGTTTGTTGCGGTTAAAGATCATTTGGAGTTTTTCGGCTTTAGGCTGGCGGGTTTTGATGTCTGCCTGTTGTAGAAATTTCTACTGATGGAGCCTGATGGATTATTGGAAGACTTGATTGCGTTTATTGTATAGTTGTGGCATGACCTGGAGAAATCGTAGCGAGTCTTATCAAATCTGATGGAATCTGAATGAACTTCAGAGGACAGAAGACATAGATACAATTGTCGCAGGATCCGGACAAGTCTGGTTGAATCTTATTGAATTCCTGGAGAGATCATGCGTGCGCGTGCGTGCGTGCGTGCGTGCGTGCGTGCGTGCGTGCGTGCGTGCGTGCGTGCGTGCGTGCGTGCGTGCGTGCGTGCGTGCGTGCGTGCGTGCGTGCGTGCGTGCGTGCGTGCGTGCGTGCGTGCGTGCGTGCGTGGGTGGGTGGGTGGGTGGGTGGGTGGGTGGGTGGGTGGGTGGGTGGGTGGGTGGGTGGGTGTGTGTGTGTGTGTGTGTGTGTCTGTGTGTGTATGTGTGCATGTGTGTGTAGGTATGTATGAGTATGAGTGTATGCGTGTTTGTGTGTATGAGTGCATGTACGTGTTCGTGCATGTGCGTGTGTTTGTGTTTTGATGCGTATGTGTGTGAACATGTGTAGGTGTGTATGTCGATTCGGCAGGGAGGTAGGGAGGGATGGATGGAGGAAGTGAGGGAGGGAGGCAGGCGGGCACAGGTAGGTATTCGTACATGCCTGCATGGATGCATGCATGTCATTGAACATACACACTCATGAACCAATGCTTCTCTACGCATCAGAGCTTGGTGCATGCAGACATAGATACAGCAGATAAAGAAAGCAAACAGCCAAGCAACGAGGCAGATACATATGCATGTGCAGCATGTACATGTTAATATGTATCTGCATAGACATGTAGACCTACACATACGCCTACATATACATATGCATATGCTTTCTCATCCACCTCTACACCTGCATGTGCATCTACATCTATGCATCTACATCTACACGTACATCATCAACAATCCCAAGCACGGGAGGCTGGAGGCAGCACTGGAGAAAGCTCGCAGCGTCGAGGCTCGATGCAAGGGACCTGCTCTTTGACTCTGGAGGTTCAAGGTTTAGGAGGCTTTTCTTAGTGTTTAGGGGGGTTGTTTCCGGATAAGGGTTTAGGATCTAAGGTGATGCCAAGGGGCGTGCAGGAAATCGGTGTTTCACAATACCAGACCACTATACCAGTCACCAATGCCATCGCCGCCACCGTCGTTGTCATCAGCATTATCATCGTCGTCATCATCAGCATCACGCGCTGAGCCTTAAATCCTCAAACCCGTTTCTCTCCGAAGTCTCAAGCCCTGAGCCCAAAGCCTTAAGATGGCAATCACAGCAAGCCTTAGCCCAAACTCCCGAACCCATAAGCTCGCGCACCCAAGCATGTAAACCCCAACCCATGGGCCGATGTTACGATGCCAGCGATATTGATCGAATGCGGGGAGCTTGCTGCCCTCACCGTAAAATTTCTCCATTCTGTGGACCCTTAGAACGAAGGGACCTCTGAGGGACAAAAACCTCCAGAACAACTTGAAAACCCCTATAAAAGGCTGTTGGAGAGCTCTAAACACGCACCGCAAACCCTGAAAGCCTGAACGAGGAACCGTTGAACCCATTCATCCAGGATCCCACAAACCGTAAACAGTCAGCCTTAAAATCCCAAACCCTACTCCCCCCCACCCCCGCGGCCCCGCTAAGACGAAGCCTCTTTGCAGGTCTCCGGGGCGGAGATCGAAGCTGCGAGCAAGGCTTCAACGGGCGGTAGGGTAGGGTACGAAGCAGGGCTAGAACGGTGAAGGCGCTTTGTATGGTGTTTGATGCAGTTTTGTAGGGTTCAGGGTTCATGGTGAATAAGGTAGGTTTTCATAGGGTTTTGCAAGACATATCGACGTATGGCCGGCTTATGGTTTGATGTAGGCCATGAGTCAAACCATTCCGGTCTTTGACAAGGACTACTATCGGGATCCTGCTTTTGGGTACTTGCGAGTGGTTTTCTTTTCAACGTAGATCGGTCATACTGTTGAAGTCAGTGCGCGTTCGGTATCTAGAGTTGCTTAGAGGTTTGGGTTTAAGGTTTGGGTTGCTCCAAACCAAGACCCTACATACGGTACCCAGATGCTATATGCATCCATGTAAAGATTCTCCCAACCCAATCCAAACACTAAACACAAAACCCCAAACCCTATATGCCCTAAACTTGTCAGCCCCCAGCCGGGCGCAGGTGCTTGCTGCAGAGCAGCGAAAGCAGGAGGGTCGGAAGAAGCTTCAGGCTGCCAAGGACTGCGGGCACAGCGACAACGGCTTTGGTCCATGCTTACGTTGTTTGACATTTCTGAATGTAGCAAGTCTGTTTATAGGACTCAAAGCTACGGGTATCGGAAGAAGGGTTTAAGGAGGATCTTATCTCAGTCAGCATGAAGTTTCGGTGCGATGACCTGTCGTCCCCGTAGGAGTCCGGCAACGTCGACGTGCTGAAGGCACCTGGTACTCGACGAGACCCGAAGTCTGGGGCATGGTTGACTTTTGGAGAGGAGGTTTTCAGGCATTGCCGCAAGTTCAGACCTTCGGATAACGGTTTAGGTGTTGAGGTATTCACGAGCTCCAGAGCAGTGCGTCAAGACCCCTGATGATTCATAGAAGAGGGAGGGGTTCGGGCGGCCTTAGGATGTGAAGCCGTAGCCGCTTTTGAATCTTTTCTGTCCCGGTCCTGCAGATTTTATTGCGCCTGGTAGTCGCATGACCGTGAAGCCATGATCCCCTGTTTCAAGCATGAAGCCCACAAACCCTAAAGCCCCAGCAACAAAAGCTTGATTACAAACCCTAAAACCCCAAACCTCCCAACACGGTCAACAACCCACTCCAAGAGCCGCAACACCCGTATAGGACCCTTACAGTAGCCCTGATGGAACCCTTTATGGTAACGCTTGTAGTAGCAGCCAGTATACACCTTCATTAGTACGTACGCGTGTTTCCATACACCCCATAAGCCCCCATGGAAACCCTAAAACCCAAACGCTGAGCCCCTGAACCCCTAAAGCCTAAAGCCCTAAACCCCTAAAGCCCTCATAGAACCCGTAGATCATTGAGAGAAGCGCCCGCCGCGGGAGGCAGCCTTGGAGGATGCCAAAGCCGCGGGGCTGAGCCCCACGGAGCTGAAGGCCGTGGAGGCGGGTTTTGGGAGCCAGGAGTTTAGGGATTTAGGATTGGGGTTTGGGGATTAGTTTAGGAACTAGAGTTTAGGGGCTTAGGGATTAGGGTCGGCTTCCCCCGCACGCGTCAAAACTGGAACACGAGTTTAGGGTCTAGGGTTTAGGGCCTGCTGCGATCACTTGCAAGGTCCCGTAGTCTTTGTGCGACACCAAATACTGTATGCTGCAGAGCAGCTCCGACCAGGACTTGATTGCTGCGGCCGAGTCGAAGGAAAAGGTGGAGGCGCGGATGTGATTTTTCTTGCAGGTTTCTCGACAGTCCAGGTTTTGGGGATCCCTTGTCCGGAGCAGCGACTGAATCCGCACTCTACTGTAGGGGCCTCAAGAGTCAAGGGTTCGAATCAGGTTTTAGGGACTACAGTGAAAATGTGATAAGGAACCTTAAGGGCAAATATTGGTAAGTGATTAATTATACGGCTTTAAACCGTAATGGGTAACTCTGAAGCAGGAGGGTGTAGAACCTCACAAAGCGCCTTGAAACGCAGCGGAGGGATGTCAGCCGTGGTGGTTGCAGGTGCACACATAAGTAGACTAGGGTTTTGGGGGCTTCCTATCATAATTATGGTATAGTATAACCCCCAAGCCCTATTGTAATTATTGAGGGCCCTATGTTAGAGCAACCGCCTAGATGAGGAATCACGGCTGAGGCTTCAAGCTGGACTAGATATTATATAGGGGCCTCGACAATTACCAATACTATTTCTGGGGTTCCTTACAAATTACAATGCTAGCATAATAAACCCCAAAACCCTATTCTAATTCTTAAAGACCAAGATCAAGAAAGCTTATTCTGGTTGAGGGGAATAGGACTAGACAAAAAATTGTGTGGAAGCCCAAGACTGACAAAGGTCTTTTGTTGCGCTTCAGGCGTTGGTCAAGTCTAGTCGTTTGACCTTGCCTTGCGTGAAGGGTTTCTTCAATTGCGGGTTAAGGGTTTGAGATGGCGTAGTCAGCAGACAGAGAGGCAAGGCCATGGCGAAGGCTGTTGCCTACAAGGCTCTCTGCCAACCGTGACTGACCACCAAGTTTCTGATCCCCCTGAACAACCCCCAGAACCCTTGAGCCCTACATCTTTCAACGAACCAGAGTCCCAAACCTGGAACCTTAGATGCAGCTTCCAGATGCAGGCTGCGCTGAAGACCGCGACTTCGGAGCGCAACGTGGATCCGGCCCTCGCTTTTATCTCGGCCGTTGTGTCGATTCTTAAAGTAGCAAAGTACATGGCTAACTTGAAAGGGCCCCAGTTGGTCATTGCCTGACCGGTTGGCACAATTCTGTTAAAACCGTCGAACAACCTCAAGACCCAAGCCCGACATCTAGGCATCCAATCTCAAACCCGTCCGCCCTCAACCGTAATCCCCAACCGCGAAAGCTTGAACCACCGAAGCCGGAAACGTTGAAACCCAAAACCTAAGCCTCTGAACTCTCAAGCACCGGACCTACAATCTGAACAAGTGAGCCCTTTCTCTCTAAATGCTAGCCCTAAGCTGAACCTAAACCTGGTATGCAACCCCAAACCTAGAGCCTGAAACCTTAAAGCCTTTATGCCCTGAAAGCCAGACCCTCAACCCTTCAAGCCCGAAGCCCAATCTAAAGTAAGTGCCAATCTCCAGCCGCCAGGTCCAAAGCTTGAAGTTCGCCATTCAGCAGGCCAAGGCGGATCTGGGGCCCATGATGTCGGGTTTAGGGTTTAGGAAGGGTGTCCAGGTTGGAGGGTTTAGGGTTTCCAGGTTTGGTGGAGGGTTCAGGGTTCCAGGGCTTAGGGCTTTCTCCGTTCAGGGTTCGCACGTTCAGGGTTTTGGTTCAGGGTTTGGCATCCCAGGTGGTTGCTCATCACCATTGATGCTGCTTCGTTCTGAGTATGCATCACAGGATGGCTGCTGAAGTGAAATACATCTTAGAGAGAGGCAAGGCACGCTCACTCCCAATGCCAAGCGCAGAACCTAGTAGCGACCTAGCAAGCAGGGTCGAATGGGCCGTGTACGTACTATAGAGGCCTAAGTACTTACTGATTTGTAATGTTTTTATCTTTTTAGAGTTATCACTCTATAGTTATTAAGACTGCTATGGTAACTGCACTGACGATTTCTTCCGGATCACAGTCCTCAGCCTTGCAACCGTAAATCTGGCGCCTTGATTCGTGAATCCTCCAGCTGAGAAAGCCCGACAGCCTGAGCCTGAGCATGTTTTTCCCGGTTGCAGGACGTGGTAGCTTCATTCCATGAAGAAGTTCTTGTCATTCCATGGTAGATACATACTTTTAGCCCTGGAAGTGCGAAAGCGCGAGCGCCGAATGCCCTTGAGTCACAGGAGGCGAACATCGATGCCGCCCTTATTCAGGCTGCCGAGGTCTGCCGGCTTTCGTTTTCAACAGCTCATGGTTTACCGGGCTGGAGGATTGATACGAGTTTAGGCCTTCGGGTGGCAAGGGCTGAAGGCTTTGTGGGCTGCGGGGGTTTAGTTTAGTTTCGAGTTGCAAAGTCCATTAAGCCATTTCGATGCTCCTGGACCCGAAAACGTCAAGCTTTTGCTCAAAAGTTGAGGGTGCTGGGAGAAACCCTAGACACCCTCAGAAGCTTATTGTAGTCGGGATCCATGATGAATAACATGGTTTCTTACTTTGGCTACTATGGTAGCTAAACTGAGTTTCTCGAATGTACACCTGAAACATAAAGAAGAGGGATACATGGTCGTTTCGGGGAGGATGAGAGGATACTAGGTATTATCTATCTACTATTATCTACCTCTCTCACTATCTATCCAATTATCTAGGTATCTGGCGATCTAGCTCTCTTCCTATCTATCAATCTATGGACAGACATATGTATGCAGATATATGTATAACATATACACATACAAATGCATACATACATACATACATACATACATACATGCATACATACAGACGATACAGACAAACAAACAGGCATACATGGTGCAGCGCTGCTAGGCCCCCCCTCCCCTAGGGGAGTTCATGGATCTCCTGGGAGATGCTAGGTTCCGCACCCTCAGAATGAGATGCCTCTCCTATGAAGAGCTCAGGCGCCTTGGCTTCAAGGCCATACCATGGAAGGAACACGACGTTCGTGCCCTCCTCAACACTCTCCGTGATCAGGAGGTGTCTCCTCACAAACTTCAACAGGTGTGGGACACCCTCAAGTGGTTTGGTAAGAAGTTTGGGCTCCTTGCGGTTGACGAGGTCTTTCGGCTCACTGAGAAGAAGAAAGCCCTCTCGGAGTCCCTCGTTAGCACAGTGCACCGTCCGATGCGGAAAGCCCAGGTCCCCTCCAAGTCCTTTGTGGTCCAGGCGGAAGAGGTCGCGGCTCGCCCGCTTTCGAGCTCGGCCACAAGAATTGAGCTCATGGATGCCTTTATCTGTGGCATTGCAAGGTTCCAGCTTGGCTCCAGTGCCCGCTTCAGTGACCTTCAACATACTAGCCCAGATACCCTCAAGGTGACCTCCACAACCATTGAGTTTTCAGCCTGGCAGACCAAGACCCACTCGGCGGTGGCGATTCACAAAAAGCCGGTCCCACTCATCTGCCCGAAGTACTCCTTCTCGGGCAAGGACTGGTGGACTCCTCTCCTCTCCACTTGGCGCAAGCTCTCGGCGACCCCTATGTTTGATGCCATGGACTACCTCATCCCGACCGTTGGCAAGGACTATGACGGTTTCATTGCCAGGCCCGCCACCTCGCAGCGCGCCCTGAATTGGTGCGCTCGGCCATGTCCAGGCAGGAAATCGACAAGGCCCTGTGGGAGGGCCTCACCTGGCACTCTTTCCGGGTGTTCATGCCGGACTGCGCCTTCCAAGCACACGTCCCTCGCGACCAACGGCAGTATCTTGGAAACTGGATGGCTGAGAGTACTGCGGATGTCTACACCCGGGAGAAGAGGAACGTGGTCTGCGCCATCTGGGAGAAGGTCACCTCGAACCTGGATCAGATCGACACGGCGGGTACCCGCACTTCAGTCATTGATCTCTCCCGCGAGGAACCGCAGCACCCCCTGGAGATTCCTGCTGCGGGTGCGCTCCCAGTCTCAGGTGCCAGCGGCCCTGAAAGAGGGAGCCCTCCGCGTTCAGTGAGGGACTCATCCACTCCTTCTCGCCATGCAGACAGCCCGGCGTCGAGCTGGCTTATGACGCAGATCCCGGCGGACGAAGTGCCTCCGCCTCAAGGACCTCTTACGCCTGTTTCCACCAAGGTGGCCCGAGGCAACAAAAAGCCGATCCACCTCTTGAATCAGGACCTCCGGGCTGTGGGTTGCGGTTGGAGCCCCTCTATGGACAAGGTGGAGGCCCTTAACGCCATAGATTATCAGGGCGACGTGAACTCCTACAACCTGTGTGCGAGGTGCTTCCTTCAGTTCTCCTTGCCGGCAGAGTTTCGAGCGGGGGATGCTCCCCCCGCGGGAGATTCCAGCGAATCGGCCTCCTCAGGTAGCCTGACGGATGACACGGCATCGGAAGCGGAAAAGGTCACCTACCAGGACCTGGACAGGGCTCTGGCCTCCAAAGGCCAGCCTTAGATGGACGACATCTTTCAGTTTTGGGGTTCTTTTGTGCCGCCCATCCTTCGGCTGTGGCTTCTTTCTGGACGGCACAAAATTTTGGAACTCTTTTCTGTACAAGGAGGGTTCCCGATCCACAGGTGCCGTAGGCCCTGAAGGAGGGGACCCTCCTTTGTTTCGGAACGGCCTCGTTCTTGTCTGAGGTCTTCGACCGAAGGAACATCCCGGGAGTCGGCAGCCACACCAATCCACCATGCAAAAGAGAGCTTGCGAGCATGGTCTTTTGGTGTGCCATTTTCATGCGGATATCTGACATTAGTTACTTGCAACAAAGCTTGCCGACTTGCAAGACTTATGTCAGGAGACGTCTGCCAAAATGGCTCTGCCATTTTGGCCCAAGATCGTGGACCGTGGGTCCTTCATAATTTGAAACCCGCCCTCCCTTCCCCATGGCGGCTTTAGCCAAGCCTCCAGAAGCCATCCCAGATGCCTATGCCGACGACATCGCAGAGCTGCATTCGTCTGTCTCCACCCTGTTGGCAAGGAAACAGATCCCCTACTCTGTCCAGGCAGCCTTGGCCAAGGAGGGCTACATTACTCTGGAAGACATCGCCGACCGCTGGGATGATGCGTCGGCCGCCAGAACCAATGGCCCTAGGGATCTAGGTTTTGCCAGCGGGACCAATGGCTTCACAGATCAAAGCAGCGCTTTCACTGCCATGCGTCTCTTTCAGGCAATCAAAGCGGCTAAGGAAATGACCAAGAACCTCTATGCACCTCGATCCAGTGTCACGCCTGGCCAGGCTTCTTCGGATCGATCAGGCCTCGAAGTGCTTTGTGACCGACACCAGCTCCTCACGGATTGGACTAAGGAAACGGGGCTCCCGAAGCCCAAACTTGAGGCCCAGGGAAGTGACAACCTTCTCAAGGCGCAGTTCCGCTTCTGCTCCAAAGGAGAACTCGGCTTCATCAATGCGAAATACATCATCAGTGCCTTGCCAGAGCTTGAAGAGAAGCCTTTCAAGACAAGGCGAAAAGTGACAGTAGACGGTTGGGATAAAGAAGAGGAAGAAGAGGAGCGGAAGCTCCCGACCACTCGGCGACATCTAGAAAGGATGCACCGCGTCTTCCGCAACAATCTTTCGATGTGTCTTCTTGCTTTCCCCCAGTTCTCGCAGTTCGATGCGTCTAAGCATGATCTGGATGATTGGTATGACTGGTTCTGGGGTCCGGACATTGCGGGTCGAACTCCAGCCCCGTCGGAGAAAACTCTCCTTTACGCTGAACGAAACGCGTGGAGAGCCATCCACAATCTGGTCTACGAGGGCAAATCGCTCAAAGAGGCCATGATGGAAGTTCGTGCTGATGCTCTCTTCTGGACAAGGGAAGTCTACGAGCGCGTGCCTCGACCTGGGGAGAAGGGTCCGAAGGGCACTCCGAAGGGGGAGAAAGGCACTCCTTTCGCCAAAGCCCCGGGCAAGGGGTCCTGGAAAGGCAAGCAAACCTGGCCAGCGTACCAGCCTGTGTATCAGCCCTTTCTTAAGCAGTCCACTAAGGGCAAAGATGGTAAGAAGGGCACTCCCAAGGGCAAGGGCAAAGACTCCTGGCCCCAGTCTTGGTCCAGGAATAATCCTAAGGGCACCCCCTTCTGCCGAGATTACCACATCAAGAAGCAGTGCCCCGGTAACTGTGGACGCTCCCACAACTGCCCGGTCACTAAAGACGGTTGGGTGTGCAATGCCCCTCCGAATGAGCACAGTCCGGACAACTGTCCCTACAAGTGAGGACTTCCAGTCCCAGGTGCCCTTGGCCCTGAACGAAGAGAAGTGTCGGAAGTGGAGACACGAGCTGCCCTCTCCACACCAGGTGCCCTTGGCCCTGGAGTACAGGCACGGGACAGATCGCGATCTCCCTGTGGGAAGACCGCCCCCGCGCCAGGGGGGAACACCATTCAAGTGGGCATGCAGCCCTCTGGTAGTGCTCCCTCGGATGACAAGCCCTTCTCTCTCGGGCCTTGGATTGAGGAACATTACCCGGGCTCTCTGCCTGCAAATTGTTCTCCTGAATGGCTTAATGGGGTCCCCGACCGCCTGGTCCGGAGACTACGGTGGTCCCCCTCCGATTGCACTGCCAGCATTCCTCAGGGTGCCATAATCTTGCCATTCGCGGGCCGTGAGGATGCTTCATCCCTTGAAGCGATCCTCCATGCTCAAGCCCCAGACCTCTCCTCGAGAGTTCTGGCCTTAGATCCCTCTAGGAAGCCCCCTGGTAAGGACCTCCTTAATAACACACTGTTTGGGTCTCTCTGTGCGTCGGCTCTGCAAGGAAGCATCTCCTTTGTGGGAGGATGCCCGGACCTCAACACCTGGGGTTTGGATAGATGGTTTCAGGACTCGGGTACTCTCCAGGCAGTTAGGTCCCGCTCGGCGGAGAACGCCTGGGGCATTGCCGCTCTCCCTGAGGCAACGCTCCACTCGGCGGATGAGGAGAGCACCCTGCTCCTTAGGTTCCTTCTGCTTACATGGCTTGCCTTCAAGGCGACTTCGTCTAATGCTCCTACTAAGGTCTTCTGTTTTCTGGAGATGGCTGAGGACCCTGCGCGAGGAGCCACTTCTCCGTCCAAACGACGCTCCTCATCGGCCTGGGCCACTTCGGCTCTGCGTGCTTGGACCTCAGATTTAGGTCTTCGTATTCTGCACTTTGATCTGTGTTCCTTTGGTTGGGTTTTTAGTCGTCCGTCTAGAGCCGTGACGAATCTTCCCCTCCAATCCTGGGAGGGCAAGACCTGCACACACACCCATCACCCTAAACCGGATCGTCCCGTGCCGGGGGACGCTCGACGACCTGAAGCCATGCTACAGTGTATCGCATCGGCACTAGCTGGTAAACTTCGCGACACAGGCTCTCCAGCAAAGGATTCACCGCCGGATCCTGTTTCCAAACTCCTTGCTGGTCCCTCGCTGGGACAGGAGCGTCCTCACTGGGCGGCTCAAGGGTCAGCACCCCCTGGGGCGGCTGTTCAACCCTCCCTACCCTCGCTGGGGGGGAAGCGTCAGATTGCTGGGTTTCCTGGTGCACCCCACCCCATGGTATACCCCCCTCCCCCCCTGTGGTTCCCTGTGGTGTGGGTTCCCCTGCCCCTCTCCCCTGTGGTTGTCTACTCCGATCCCTTGCTCAAGAGTCCCGAATGAAAATCATTCAAGCACGTGCCCGAGCTTACTTTGTAACGAACCCAACCGAAACTTGGCTTGGAATGACAACGGTCGATACAGTTTTCGCAAGAACATCACAAGCCAAGCGCGGTTTTCAACTAGATAAATCAATTGGCAATGAACATGCGGTGCCGAAGCCCAGAGCAACATAAGAGCAAAAGTACCACCAACAGCCACACGGGGATTAGCACATCAACATCATCGTGGCCAACATCATCCCCATCATTCTCATTTGTGTGTCGAAGACAAGGGAGGGCGAAGGAGCCCTGTGGTTCCCTGTGTGGATTATCCTTACCCACCCCGCCCCTGTGGTTCGCTGTCTTGTGGTTCCACGGTTGTGGGTTATCCCTCCCGCCCTCCCCCGTTTCCCAAGGCGAAAGGCGAGGCTTGGCCTGGGGGGGAGTTAGGATGACGCGTGACTGTTTGATGGGACGAGAGGCATTTGGGGGGAGGGGGGGGGGGCATACCATGGGGGGTGGGGGGGGGGGGGGCCTGCGACGCGGCGACGCGGCACCATACATATATGCAGACTTCCATTGGTTCTCATTCACAGATACGGTACATTGTATTTGTATCAAATACAGTACCTGCTGTCAACACTGTTGCCATATCTCCTGCATCCGGCCAGCCAGAGCAACCCCTCCCTAAACTCCCCTTCATTCTGCCAGGAAGTCTTGCGGGTGGAAGAACCCAAGCTTCTTGCTCGAGAGCAGTTGGCGGAGGCGGATTGCCGGTGCGGACAGCTTTCGGCACTTGATACAAGGGTTCCTTGAAGGTTCTGTGAAGGTTCAATGTGGCTTCTGAAAGGGAGCGGGTCTTCAGGGGTTGTGAGGATTTGGGGGAGCTAGCTTTAGAGAAGATATGGTGAGGCTTTAGATGAGGGAGTAGGGTATAAGATTGAAGCTCCCATGGCAGTGAGGGTTTTCTGGCATTTTGCTGCAACGCAGAGAGAGGTTTTTGCCTGAGGCCTTCGGGCGCATTCAGGCCTCTGAGGCCTAACGGTTTTAAACTGATGTTGTAGCCTGTCAGGCGCCTGGGAGGGTTTTCTGACTCAAGTGTACATCGTTATGAAGCACAGAAACGAAACATGCTCGTTCTGATGATGTCGGTTTTCGCCGTCATCATCACCGCAAAATCTTTAGAAACACTGTGCTTGTGTTGCTTCATGTTTGAGCACGTCGCTAGCAATTGTCCTTCACAATGCAAAGCTTCTGCTTCATGCTCTGGGTGCGGGTTTGTTGATGAGTATCGAGCCGGGTTCATGTTACTGACAGACCCTAAGTCGACAAAGCCGACAAGCTTGATGTGGGTCTTCCGACTTTGTGAATCAGGTCTACGCCCAGCTTCAAGAGAGCCAGCCCTACATCCCCAGGCCCAAACCAGAAAATCCACCGTCCCCAGCCTGTTAATCACCCGGTCCTTACGGCTCCGAATCGGATGCGACCGGTCAGGCTTGCCAGCAGGTGACGAAAGCTGGCTTGATAGCAGCTTCCTCAGCTCTTAGCATTGAGCTTGAAGAGGGCAGATCGCCACAGCTGCTACTACTCGAGGACCACTGATGCTAGCAACAAGCAGTAGTTACAGAAAATGAGGTGAATGAGCCTTCCTCGTACCATGGTTGCCGTCATCATCATCATCATCATCATCATCATTGTTATTCTGTCTCTGCGGCTCCTTGGGTTGCCGGTGCTGCCCCGTTTCTTACAACTACCCGTACCAATATGAAACTTAATTCCGTAAAATCCTGTAAGACAGCTGTGAGTTTAGGGTTCGAGCTGAGGGCCGCCCTAGGGCTTTGGATCCTGCAAAGTGGGAGTCCTCCTCAACCTCCTCCTCCTCCTCCCCCTACTGCTGTCACTGCTCCTCCTCCTCCGAATCCTACTCCTACTGCTGACCCTTTATGACTCCCGCGATGATTGCAGTAAGTTCAGAGCCTGCATCGATCCGAGCCTAAGGCTGCGATATTGGCTGGCAAGAAAGCCAACCTCGATGCTGGAGAGTATGCCAAGGCGGGTTTCGAGTTCAGGGTTTGGGAGTTTTCAGAGCCTGCAGAGCGAGTGTACTAGCATTCTTTCCCAATATTGCGGATGGCAGACTGTGTCGCAAAAACCCTGAACGCGCATCCCAAAGCCTACGCCCTCAACCGTGTTCTAAGTCTTTGGCCCAGTGAGAGGGCAGCTTTGGGATTTGCGCTCCAAGCATCTTTGGGCTAAAAGAAGAAATTCCGCGCTTTGGGTTTCGGGTTTCAGACGTCCTGAGAACTCAGTCCTATTGGCTTGAATTACTCGCGGCTGTTGTCTCAGGTTTCGACGGTTTGGGACGCAGAGGTTCTAGTTCAGGGGAGTGCTAGAGCTTGCGGATATCAAGTTTGGCTCTAAGGCTGCAGATGCCAGCCTTAGCGAGTCGGTTGGTTCTTTGATTCAGCCTGAGCCCTGATGCCTTCGAAGTGCTCCCGGCTGTTCCCTTTGTTTTGATAGCTGCAATATGTTACCCTGAAGATATAGACCCGATGCCCAAAGACTACCCGTGAGTCGGGCCTTTGTGTAAACTTGGGGGCTTCGGGTTTCTAGGAAGCCGTACATCGAGATGTCGATGATTCTGACATGTTTTGCTCTTAGGAGGCTTCCGAAGATAATGGCGGCGCCGGCGGTGGTGGTGGTGGTGGCGGTGAAGCCTAGGCCCTAACCCTTGAACTGAATCCTTGACACTGGCCGTCAACAAACCTCGGTGGCAGGCAGAGGAGCTGCTGAGGCGTGAGGAGGAGAAGGAGCCCGCCAGCCTTGAGATCTCTCTTAGACGAGGTGGTGCTATTGACAGGCTTAAAGCGTCAAAGAGCAGGAATTCAAGGCTGCACACGATTCCCTTTGGCACGTTGGTCTGGCGTTCTACGCCGCCTCTATGTCCTTCAACATTGGTTGATGGTTTAGGGTTTCGCACTTCGGGTTTCGGGTTTTAGAGTGTGTAAGGCTTAGGCTTTGGGGGCTCGTTGACTGCTGAGCTAGGCCGGTTCCTCTGCAAAGCGAAGCCACCTAGGTCTCCTCAAAAGTTTCAGAAGAGCTTTGATGCTCTAGTTCCAACCCCTCTGAGGTTAGTGATTTCGACACTCTGAGGTGTCCGTTGTCGCCTTACGAATCCTATGAAGGATTTGTGTGTTGAACCCCATGTTGTGTCCACACTGGCTCTCGGAAGTGTCGGGCTGGAGCTTGGCGTTTGAGGCTGCAAGGTTCAGGGTGGTTGAGGCAATCTGGTGCTTGGAACCAGGGGATAAGCGGTTTGGGATTCCACGTGTCATGTGCTGAGGCCCTGCAATGTGCCCTGCAACACGGAGCCATAACTCAAAAGCCGAAACCCTGAACAGTTTACCCAAACCCACAGACCCGAAGCACAGTTTGCCCAAAGCCACAGATCACAGATCCGAAGCCATGAATTCCTGAAACCGGACCCGTAAGCAGTATTCATTTGGTGCCTTTTAATTGGTGCATGGGTGTGTAGGCCTTGATAGTTAGTTCTTACGACGGTGTTGTTTGGGTCTGCAGGGCTTCTTGCGGAGGCCCAGGTTTCAGAAAATCGGGCGTCCTTGAGCCACTGTGCTAGGTCCTTCATATCCAAACTTTTTCACAACGAGCCCTTGTCCATAGCTGTAACGAAAGCTGAAAGGCTTGGAACAATGAGGGCTTAGGGCTTAGATGGGCTTGAAGTTTAGGGGTTGTGGCTTCGGGGACAGTAACGGCTCAGGCATTGAACCCCAAATCATCGAAATGCACCCAAATTTGAAAGCAGTCCGAAACCGCATTTCAGGAAGATTCCCCAACCCAGACTCAGGTCTCCCTACAGCTCGAGCCCTGAAGCCCAACATCCGCATGTGTAGGTCTCTAAATTAGGGTCTTTTTTTGGGTCCAGCACTCTGATAACAACGACCAAACGGGGACCCTAATTAACTACCCACATGCTGAAGGAGAAGCTGCTGAAGCGCGTCAATGAGGTGCTGGCAGAGTCGCAGCAGGCGCTACGAAGCGTTGGGTTGATTGCCTCCGTTTCTGCTGAAGGTGCTGAACTCTCGAAGCTGCAGCGATTTTGCTTTTGTGGCGTATGCGCTTGTCCGTGACGTCAGTGGAGTTTCAGAGTCCCGTTGGAGCTTGCAGGGGACCCTAACCATAAGTATAAGATATCCCAACAATCTACCACAGCTAATTTCGGCCCTGTAAAATAATACAAAAAGCGCACGCACCAACTGCTGCAAACCTGACACGATTCTCATTGGTTGGTTTAGCTTTCAGCGTATCGGTTTAGATCAAGAGCGCGAAGAATCAGGATGCCCGTATCAACAGTAGCAACAGCCAGCAGAGTAGCCATACTTCTCGCAGTTTGATGGTACTGAAGCCCGAGACCCAACACTGTACACTAATCCTAAACCCATGACCCTAAACTCTAAGCTGTAGACCACCTTCAGCCCAAGAGACTTCAGGAAACACCCGAAACCCTAAACCCTACACCCTATACCCTAAACACCTAGAGGATCTGGCCATTCGATACGTGTAGGCCTGACTCCTTCACAGACTCCACGAGGTGGACATGAAGAGCATCGATGCTCTCAGAGAGATGCGAGAGAAGCTGCAGACTTCGTTGAAGGCGTGGCTTGGGTCAGGGATTTTGGGGTGTGGGAATTGGGGTTTGGGATTTAGGGTTTAATTGGGGGGTGCAGGGCTGGGGTCAGGGTTTCTTTGCTTCAGAGTTTGGGGATTTGAAATATAGAAAAGATCATACAGGGAACTCAAGCAATTGCAAAGAGCCACCGGCTTGAACCCTTTAAGGGAATCTCATTGTACGTAAATTCCTTTACCGCAAGCAGGCAGGCAAGGACATGTCCAGCAATCGTCACGTATCGTCCGGTTATCCAATGCCTCGCTTTCTGGACTCCTTGGTCTCCTGGGCTCCGTAACACCAGTCTGAAGCTTTAGTTTACCGATTCCTTGGATGTTGGGGGAAGTGCTGAAATCCTGAGAAGCTGTCGAGATCCTAAGGCCTGAAGCCTCAACTTTCGAGCTCGGGGTCTCCTTCATTTGAGTTCAATTCCCCGGTGTCAATTGCTCCAGGGTTCGATGTCAATGCCTGAGAATCTTTGCCGGGCGAAAGGGAAAAACAAAATTAACTGTAGCTCGAATCCCAGGCCGCTTCACACACCGACCCCAAACCTGTTCTCAATTTTCAGAGTTCAGGGTTTGGGTTTGGGGTTCAGGACATTGGATGTTTCGGACGTCCGGCGGAGTATTGCAGCCTGTGGCACCCCAGGAAGCACTCGCAGCCGGTGTCGCCGAATCTGCTGTGACCTGAGTGTCTAGATTTGGGGTCTACCCTGACCTGAAAGGTGGGCCGTGCTCGTTCATTTTTTGTAGTGTCGTTGCAGGAGCAGTGGTGGTAGTAGTGGTGGTGGTAGTAGTAGCAGGAGTAGTAGCAGGAGGAGGAGGAGGAGTAGTGGTAGCAGTAGTGGTAGTGGTGGTGGTGGTGGTGGTGGTGGTGGTGGCAGTGGTTGTGGTAGTGGTGGTGATGGTGGTAGTAATAGTACTAGTAATAATTGCTATTAGTAGTAGTAGCACAAGCAGCCGCGGTAGTCGCAGCGGCAGTGACCTCTAGGCATGCCCGGCCGGAAAGGCATGGGAACCCGAAATTAACCCTGAGCCCTAGCCCTTTCCCTCCAAAAGCAGACCATTAGATGCCCTGAAAGCCAAAAGCCTGAACACAAAACCCAAGACCCTGACGCTGCAAGCCTTGCGTCTTGAACAGTCGAAACTCCACGCCGAGGACCTCGTAGCCATCGACCAGCGGCGCAAGAAGCTTCACAATGCCGTGGAGGCCCTGACCCGGAATCCTAAACCGTAAACCCTAAAGCCTGCACCCTAAGCCTCCCGAACCCCAACCCTAAAACCCAACAACCCCTCAGCTCCTGGTTCTCCTGTTCCATCCTGGAGGTCGACCGTGTCTACTCTTGGGCATTTGTGCAACCCCAAAGGCCGAAGCCGAAAGCCTCGACCTTCCAAGGACCTAAAACACAAGAAATCCCATTTTTACATACGATCGGGGTCGGAACAATCAGAAGTAGATCCCCTGGATAGCCCTTATAGTCAGCTGCCTGCAACATGACCCCGAAGCCCTTGTCTATTTTGAAAGGCCCCTGTATCGGATCCTTGAGGGAACCGTGGAACCCTCAAGCCCTGAAGCGCCCAAAGCCTTATGGACTATAACCCCCCGTGAAGACCCTATGAGAGCCTAAGGAACCCGTACCGAGCCCTAACGGCCCTAACGCTCTAAAGTGCCGCCAAAGCCCAACTAAATCCGAAACCCTGCACCCCCGCAGCGCTAAACCCTAAACCCTAAAACAATCCCAAACCCGAAAGCCCTAAGAACCAAACACGAAAGCCCCAAACCCCAAATCCCAAACCCGAAAGCCTTAAAACCCTACTCCCCAACCCGAAAGCCTTAAAACCCAAACCCCAAACCCTGAACCCCTAAAGCCCCTAAACCCTGAAACCCTACACTCCAAAGCCGGAAAAGCCTTAAACCCCCTAAAGCCCTAAATCCCAACGCCTGAAAGCAAAAAAAGCGCGCCGACAGCCTTTTGCAGGACTTGAAAGGCTCCATCCGCGTCTTTTGCCGGGTCCGGCCCCTGAGCAAAAAGGACGGGGCGCCTTTTTTTGGGGCGTGCGGGTCTGGGGGTTTAAGGATTTAGGGTTGAGGTTTAGGTTGCTTTGGGTGACAGTTGCTGGTGGTAGAGTAGCAAGCGATTTATTGGGACCGCCAAGAATCAGCTCCCCATGGTAAGGCATCAGGGTTTTATTTTGGCTGGGTATTATGGAGATTTCTAGGGTTTGGTTTACAGGTTCCTGAGGGTTTTGATGGGGGGGGGGTGCTTAAGGGCTTGCGGTTCCAGGGGGTTCATGTTTCAGGGTTGAACTTTTTCGCCTGCGTTTGGGATTTCAGGATCTTCGGGAGGGATTCGGAGTTTAGTGTCTGTGGAGGCTCCTGCAAGCGATGACTCTTCTCGTTGATGACCATGGTGACGATGATAGTGTTGATAATGCTCGTCGCTATTTTAAGTGTCTTTATGGGTCATGCTTCGTAGCAGTCGTTTATCTTCGCCTTGTGCTAACTCGCTTTGCGCTAGAGGCGCCTCGAAGCCCTGAGCCCTGGGACCCCGAAGCCGAAGACGTAAGAAGACGTAACTGCTTCCCTCGCATTCGGAAGGCTGCAGGGGCAGGGGCTCCGGGGTAAGATTTAGCAGCCCAAGGGCTTCGGGTTGGAGGGGCTTGTAAAGTGCTCAGGAGATTAGCCGAGGATTTCGGGTTTGCGCTTTTCGGTCAGGCTTTCGGTTTGCATTGAGATAAAGCGGAGGGTTCTGAGTTCAGGGTGGCAGCGCAAGGGTTCCAGCTTCTGTGTATCTTGAGGCTGAGACTCTCCAGGCTTCGAGGACTAGGGAAAAAGGCTCTACCGCTCAAACCCTGAGCCCCGAACCTCCAGCTGAATACTCACGAATTGAGTACTGCGAGGCCTCGAACTCTGTCCCGGTAAGCCCGAATTCTTCACGACTTCCGTGGTCTTGAAAATTATGGAAGTCCTCCAGGAGACGGGCCAGGGCGATACCAGCATCTGTGAGGCACGGTGGTGAGGGCATGGTACATAGATGTACATAGCATCAGATCTCAGGGCTTTGCAGGCTAGGGTTCACGCGCTCGGTGTACAAGGGATTCGGGGTTTGAGCGATTTCGGGCTGGAGCTTCAAATTGAGGGGCAGGAAGGATTTGTGATATTGCTCTTGAGGCGCTTCGCTTAGTTGGGGCGCAACCATGTACAACCCCACAAGCCGGAGTTTGACTTGCTCCTAGGCTTCCAGAGAATGGATCCCAAGAATACAAATTCACGGGTGCGGGGTGTAGGGTTGCAGTATCAGAGCCAACGTCATGTGCTGCAGCTTCTTTTGGAGGGCGCGTCCGAACTCGATGTTTCTGCTTCCATTTAGGGTCCGATGTTGCTGTTTCTGTTCAGCAGGACCTGGGTTACAAGCTCAAGAATTGGGCACGTCGGTCACGATTCGTGGTTTACGTTTGGATCTAGGGCCTAGGGATGCGAGTAGCATCGCTTTAACTAAGTCTCAAACTGCTACAACTCACCCCTCCGATGCAGCATCTACGCACCCCCCCCCCCCCCTTGCAGATCCTGTTCCCGCTAAGCCCGAGCCCTAAACCTAAATCTTAAATCTTAAGCCCTAAACCCTCAGCCTTAACCCTGATTGCTAAACCGTATTCGCAGGCCGTGGACCAGATGACGGTGAAGGTGGGCTGCTTTCCGTGATGGCATGCCGGGACGTTGTTCATTGTGCCTCTAGGTTTCAGGGTTTAGGGCTTCAGGAGACCCTGGGGCTTTATGTGGGGCTTGACGATGGGGCTCCTTGGGTATAGAACAGTACCCGCACTAGCCCACAGGGCTCCCAAGCCCACAGAACCCTCTCAGCCCAATGAGCAGCACCACAGGGCCGGTGTCCCCAAAAGTAGACCGGATAGAACGGGCAAAGATGAAGCCCCAAAGCCCATGGCCCAGCCAAGCCGCCCGTTCCATCACGGAACCCCACTGAAGACCCGGTCGATGTAGTGGACCTACGTTTTCAATGCCCAAGCCCTAAGCCCGAAACCAGTAAGCCTTAAACCCTAAACTCCTCAATTCCCAAACCTTAAGCACCGAACCAGACCGAAAACTCTTTGTTCTTAACATTATTGTTGTTATTGTTATTAATATGAGTCTTAAAAGCCTCATTCAGCATTTTTCCTCAAGCGACGTCGACCTGATCGTGGTCTTTCCTCCGTGGCCCAGGTGAAGGACGAGCAGTTCGCCTTCGACGCCGTCTTCACTCCTGGCACACAGGCCCGCGAAATCCAATCATCCCTGATAGGAAGAAGCACCACTACGATTATCATTGCTAGCCTTAGTCTGCAATCAAGAAAGTGTTGCCCATAAAGCACCAACAGACTACGTGATGGCCCGGCCACGCGTTAGCTGTCAGCTGTGCCGGTTTGCAGAAGCATCGCACCGCAAATAGGCATTCTGTCTTGTTGTTACCGCTGCCACTACCGCCGCCGTTCCTCCTCCTCCTCCTCCTCCTTCTCCTGCTACTATTCTTATCATTTCGTGACGACTAACAGTGACCAGCAGTTGCTGCTACTACTGCTACTACTGCTGCTGCAGCTGCTACTGCTACTGCTACTGCTACTGCTACTGCTACTGCTACTACTACTACTACTACTACTACTACTACTACTACTACTACTACTACTACTGCTGCCGCGACTGCTGCTTATGTTATTGGAGTAAGGTGCCGCCTCCAAGCAGTTACCATTTGTTGGATCATTGACATGGTCGTCATTCGCCACACTAGCTTTCACCATCGTTCTCGTCTCGGTTGAGTTCGCGACGGTAACGTATGTTTCCGTCGAGATTGGATCCCAAATGTGAGTTTTCTTGGGATGTGTTCGAGTCTCGTCGATTACACCGTCTCAGGCTCAACTTGCCTGCTGTAGTGGCGGCACTTATTGTACTCTTTCTTTGGGAGCTTAGCGTGCGGCTGCTGCTGCTACTGCTGCTGCCGCTGCCGCTGCAGCTGCTGCTGCTGCTGCTGCTGCCTTTTGCCGCTCATGTCTTACCTCCATAATCAGGTCCAAGGTCAGACCTTGAAGAACTTGTCAGCCCAACGCCGAAGTACGCATACAAATCGTCTTGTCTTGCAAAGAAGCGGTGCATTGCAAAAGCATTACAGTAGCTGGCAATGGTGCTGGTGATATCGTTGAAACATTGATTTTGCACAGGGGCAGTGCGCATTTTTGCAACCTCAGCCGCCTGCTTTTCCCGATTGCTTGCGGCCAAACCCAGCGTGCAAACCTCACATGCCGCCCGAAACTGAAAAACTGGACACAGACCAGAAACCCTACCGTAAACCCTGAAGGCCGTCTCATATCGCCCAAACCTCGACAGGAGGAGGTCTTCGAGGATTGCCGCGACCTCGTGCAGTCGGCAGCCGATGGCACGGAACCCAGCTGGTGACGATGATCCTGTCATTGAGAACTTTGCTTCTCCTCGCGATTTTAGGGCGGGGGGGGGGGGGGGGGGGGAAACCCGAATATGAACACAAAACTAGGAGGATTCAAAAAGTACGGAACCCGAACTAAGGTACCCTCCTAATTTTAGGAAACCCCCAATTCTCAAGAGCAGGCAGGCGGATCCCTTCACTCGTCCGGCGGGATCCCGGCTGAAAGCTGCAAACATCAAACCCCAAAGCTCTTCAGCTCGAATCCTGCAACCCCAGTTGAAGGATCATTGGACTTAGTAGGACGTTATGATCAGGGTTGGAAGTACCTTAATCGCGGCCGTTGTACTTCTATCCTGTAAACCATCATGTCTTTCAAGGCAGTATCGTAGTCATCATAGCAACAGTAGTTATAGTAGTTATAATTATAATGACTTGCAATAGCTGCATGTTTAAAGCGATCTTGACAGAGCTGAATACTTCGGAGCCTCCCATGGGATTTCAAGTTTGAGGCTTGGGCCTGTGGGATAATGTCTAAATCCCTTGTTGCTGAATGTAGCGCCATAACTACAAATGATTTTGGGGACTGTTGAAGGTGCTTAGCCCTGAACCCTAAGCCCTAAGCCCTAAAACCCTAAACCCTAAACCCTACAACCCTAAACCCTAAAACCCTAAACCCTAAACCCTAATCCTTCGAATTGTGCTCCAGGCTACAACGTGACCATGTTCGCGTGACCCCGGCCTGCTTGTGTCCTGAATCCCCAGAGCTTGCGGGCCCGGGCTTCGGGAACCACGGGTTAGGATTAGGATTTAGGGTTTTTAGGGTTTAGGGTTTAAGGTTTAGGATTTAGGCTTTTAGGGTTTAGTGTGTAGGCTTTAGGGTTTAGGCTTCAAAGAGTTCAGGATGTAGGGTTGAGGCTAGGGGTTCAGGGTTCAGGGTTTTAGGGTTTAGGGCTCAGGGAATTTCAATCCGAAAACCCCCAAGGGTACTACCGAACACCGAGGCAAATTGCAAGCTCGAGCAGAAGCTGCTAAGCGCTTAGGATTCGGAGTTGTAGGGTTCGGAGGCCTCAAAAGGTGCGATGAAGGTAGGTAGGATTAAGGATCCCTTATATAAGGACTCTTACTTGGGAATATCCCACCTACTACTACTATTATTGTTATTATTACTACTACTACTACTACTACTACTACTACTACGACTACTGCTACGACTACTGCTACGACTACGACTACGACTACGACTACGACTACTACTACTGCTGCTACTACTACTACTACTACGACTACTATTACTACTACTACTACTACTACTACTACTACTACTACTACTACTACTACTACTACCACTACTACTACTACTACTACTACTACTACTACTACTACTACTACTACTACTACTACTACTACTACTACTACTACTACTACTACTCCTCGTGCTTGCCACTTTGCCGCTGCTCCTGCTCATGTTGGTGTTTCAGAGCAGAGCAACTCCTGTTGAAGCCCTGTGACCAGGATGCACGGCCGGTTCAATGTAGAGATCTGAGAGATTCGTCTGGATATCCCCTTATAGCCCTATGTAGATACCCCTAGTTACATGATCGTCCGAACCGTGTTCTGTTTACTGAAGCCTCTGTACTCACAGCCTAGCCTGCTCCAGGTACGGTCAGACCGGGGCGGGCAAGACCTTCACGATGTACGGCGCGAAAGGCGCAGAGGGCACGTTTAGATTTGAAGCTGCTTGCGGGCGGAGGAGCCATCAGCATCGTCGCCCGAGCCCGAAAGTCGCCCTTGGACCCTTCAGTCACCTTACAACTATAGCCCCCTACCCCCCACGAACACACTCAACGTCTGAACATCCCGGCTCATCGTGCTTCCGGGTTTGTGCTGATGCAAGTTTGAGGCCTGCGAGAAGAATGCACCCCATCTTCGACGGGCTTGCAACCAGCACCCACCGTTCTTATGTGTATTGGGTGGGCCTGGATGGGGCGACAGGGAGGCCCGAAATCCGACCGAAGAGCTCCGACCCAGACCCAGACCCAAATGGAAGCTGATCCGAGTCCGATCTGTGCTCCCTCCTCTTGAGCACCGCTGGTCGGAGGGAGGGACACAGACAGAGCGAGCAAGAGCGAGAGCGAGAGGTAAGTGAGTGAGTGAGAGTTGGTTTGACATACTGGGCCACAACAGCCACCAGCATTCGCCATGAGTGGTTTGCACAGGTTCGGTCGGATACTGCAGATACTGCTTTTGAATAAAAAGCCTGACGACTCAAACCCTTGCCTACTAAATGCAGCGCTTCAGAGCTTGTGGACTTTTGTTTGACGCTCTTGGTGGCCTTATAGGGGCTTGGTCTTCAGGGTTCAAAAATCTGTTGCTAGTTCTGTTGTTGTCCTTAACTTAACATGCGGCTGCTACTTGCCTTCGCCTTTGTCTCCGGCGCTTGCGGTGGCTGGATCGAGGATGAGGCGTGCAGACAACTGCAGGGTAGCCATAAAACTCAAGCGTTCGAGGGCTTTAAAGGTTTGGGTCGACTGGGGCTTCCTCATTTGGGTTTGAACTTCAGGGCTTCACGAGGTCGCACCAGGCAACATCTACGATTGGACACCGGGGAGCTTCAGGAAAAAAGGGATTCCCAAATTCGATTCCAATCGTTCAGGCTGTGCTGTTCTTGTGGTTTCACCCCAAACCTGTCTCGTTATTCTTAAAGCCAGAAATCAGGGATTGTGCAGACTTGGTTTCTCGGAAAGCACCGTAGTAGCAACGGGCGGGGGTGAGTTCCCTGCAGCTCCCGGGATTGGTTTAAGAACATGATTCCTATGCTTGGCCATCAACGCCTAAATGAATCCCCAAGAGCCCACGTAACTGCACTTGTGTTAAGGGCACTACGGTAGCAGGAGAACGTTGACATAGAGTTCCTGATGTTTTCACAGAACTCCTAAACCCTGAACCAAAAGAAGGCACTGCGCCTTCGCACCAGCGGGCGAGTCGCTGCCAAGCCTCGTCGTTTGACTGTGAACTTGGACGCAGAGCCGAAATCGAGGTGCGCTACGGGACCCTTGTGCTTTGCTTCTAGGAGCCCCCTAAACCCTACCCTAAACCGCCCCTTAAAGTAACCCAAAACCCTTTAGGCCAACACCCAGGCATCCGACAGCGGAAGAGGAAGGAGTTCAAAGTTGAAGATTTCGTTTCGGAGTTAAGGCTTTAGGGTTTAGGGTTTCGTTTCTGATGTAGGGCCCTTTTCGGGTTGATATTCGGGCCTCGGGCTCAGCATATACCAGACCTGAAACCGCATAAAAACCCTCAGCCCGAAACCTAAACGCCAAACCCAGTGAGTCGAAAAGCACGGCCGAAACCCGGAAAGCCCCCGCAGGTGGAGCTTTCTGGCGAAGGAGCCTGGCTTCGAAGATTACCGGGCCAAGGCGGCGGGCTACTTGGAGCGACTTGGCCACACATCCGCCTTGGACTTTTGAAGAACCGGTATGGGTTCTCTTGTGGTGAGATGCCTTTTGTTCGTCTGTTTGGATTTATGTATGGTGTTTCAACACTGCCCCGAGTTCAATGGGCTGTGGTTTCCACAACCCTTCCATGGACCCTAAAGCCTTCGTGAACCTGCTGGACCAAGCTCTGAGAGACGCAGACGTGTGCTTTACAGAGAGCGGAGTCGCAGCCGTGATAGCACCTAACGCTAGTGCTCGTGGGTTGTACATTTTGGAGGATGGTAAGAGTCCTCCGTTTGATAGTGCCAGCCGCGTAGGTGAGGCAGGCTGACATCTGAGCCGCATCAGAAAGACGCCATTGATTGCACTTCAACAAAAAGCTTGAAGAGTCGAGCTTGGCAAGACAGTTGCAAAGGAAAGCACCTACGGAAGTAAAGCTCTCTGCAGTGCCTCCTGAGGCACGTTTGTGGGGGAAGTTAGCCGGGCTTTTAAAGTCGAATCCCCTGCACCCTAAACCTTAAGCCGCCCAGGAAGTATATCCCGGCGAGTCTGCTTCCCATCGTGAACCGCATCGCCGAGAGCCTGGAATCGGCGCACTTTGGCCCCAAATATGCAGGCTGTCTTTTTTTTAATACAGCGGCATTGACAAAGACTTAGACTAGGGCTAGGGTTTCAGGGGCTATAATCACCCATTGTTCCGAAGCTCGTGTTGCCGGTGATGCCAGGACGAAGCCCCAAAGCATCTCGACCGCTGACAGTGATGTTTCGCCTATTGCCCGCCCTCCCTCGTCACACCTGCACCTATGCCTCTTCGCCGTAAGGCCTATTAGGTTTCCAACCTTCTACTTAAACCTTAAACTCCGCAACTCTGAACCCTCAGCCCTTAAGCCCTCCAGAGAAACCCAAAATCAAGAATGTCAGAAGCCCCACATCCGAAGCCAAGTGTTTCTTGCTTGTCGGCATAGGGCTCGGCCGCAACTCTTAAGGGCATGTAACAGAGTATAACATAACATAACATGGCATAGCGTAACATAACATGGTATTAGATCGTAGTATAATAATCTAAGAGACCAGAACATAATATGATATGATATAGTAGTATGTTATACTACAGTATGCTAAAGGGCACATATCATGTTATACAATTCACATGGCTTTGCGGCCGTTTGTTGGTTTTGGAAAACCGGAGCCTCTTTGCTTTTTTTCTTCTCTGCAACACCCCCTAGACCTGTAGCTTAGGGGATAGGGTTTAGGGTTTAGTTCCTACACCCAAAACGGTGTTTGCCTTAACACCTAAGCTCGAATTCGGAAACACTTCTAAGCGCGAATTCGGAAACACTCAGGTCCTAGCGATCACAATGCCCCTGCACGACATTCTGCAAGAAACACCGGAGCATCCCACTCGTGTAGCAGGTACTTGAAGGACCAAATGACCCTTAAAAGTAGGGGCCCTATACCCATATAGTATGATTTTTTTGTATATGAACCTTAAACCCTTTTAGGGTTCAATTCGTCCTTAAGGTACTACAAGGACTACGCCCAAGAGATGCAGGGACTTGCTTCCGCCCTGAACGTCTCTGTCGGAGAGATCGCCGCTCGGTGCCGGGAGCTCTGATCCCTCTAAACCGAAAACGCCAACCCGCAAACAGCGGGCCCAGGAACCCCAAAGCCCCCAACCTTGAACCCATCCCCAAGGAAACCCAAACCTTAGAAGCCTCGGGGTATCTTTACAGCATCAACGCTCCCTCAAACCCCAAACCCTGCATCGTACGGTCTGACCTTGGCCCCAAGCCATATGCGAAACACCTTAAGCCCCGAAACCCAAATCCCAAACCCGCTCGGGCTCCCGAGTAGTTCTCCTAGACGTATTCTATAGGGGTTCAGGGTTTAGGGTTTAGGATTCTACAGATGAGGAAAAGTTTAAGCTCGTGTCTGGATGGGTTGGTGGGGAATCAGAATTGTGCCTCAGCTTTTGGGGCGTTCGAACTCATTGCACGAAGCTTGAAACTCACAGAAATCCTTCGAAGACCCCAGACCAAGGAAGGCTCTTCAAACCCCAGCCGTAAACACCAAAACCTAAACCCTCAACCCTAAACATAACCCTTAAGGGCCACGGGCGCCTGTGGGGGTTGAGCCTTCCGGGATTTGCGCGGAGTTGGGCGATCCGTGTCCAGGTTTTGGGTTTGTGCAATGGTTTTTAACGGGCCCTGGAAACCCCAAGCGAAGAACGTGCTGGCCGGCTTTGGGTCGAGAGATTGGGGCTTCGGGCTAGTTAAGTGGACCCTAAGCGAGCACGGCTCCTGGGTAGGATTCTGCCACCAACACCCAAACGCTATGACCTACCCTCTTCAGCCCGAAACCTTAAAATCCTAAATCCAAGCCGGTTCGGAGAAGCTCTCGGACCCTTCGGAAGAGCAGAGGTTCTCATCAACCTCGTGTATCAAGTGGAGGGAATTGGGACCTCCTGTGCGAAAGTGCCACCTGGCTGTCTTTGGCTTGGGGTTCAGGGTGGGGCCTTGCAGGCGCCAGAAGGTGGATCGATATAAATCAGTAAATGTACATGTTATATCATCTAGATTCCCTGAAGGGTTTGGCCTTTCTCGGTTTCGAAGGATGTCTCTAGATAGGACACAACGTCAACGGACCCTCAAGGAGAGCCCGAACCCCGGGAGACAGTTCAACGCCCAAAACCCCAGTCGTGAGCCCGGGTACGTCCTAGAACCTAAGCCCTGGCCCAGCCCCTGAAACCCTAAATTCCTCAACCCCAGATGCGCTGCCCTAAGCCCTTCTAAGCCATGCGAGGAACACGACGGGGCCCTGTCCGAGCAAACAGCAAGGGCCAGGTCTTTGCCACTCTGCGGGATGAACCAAGTAGGTCTTGAGGGTGTTCAGGGTTTCGGGGTTCAGAGTGCATGGCGTCTTTTACAAATGTCATCATGACTAGGCTGAGAGTTGAGCTGCCGGGGTACCAACTTGACAGTATAGCGCCTGAACTTCCTACAGCCCAAAGCCCTCAAGCCCTGAATCTGAAAACCTACAGCCCTTTATCAAAAAAGCTCAGGTCCTGAATCTGAAAACCTAAATCCCAAACGCACTGCAGCAGGTTTAGGGTTTAGGGTCTGGCTTCAAGTCCGAAACGGCGATGCTAGACTTTGAAGTGGCGGCGGATTTTCGCTACGAGTCTCCCGGGTCTACTACGGTTTAGGTTCAGGATTTTGATTCTGACAGGCATCGACGGGTTGGGCTTCGGAGGGTTGCAAGGGGCTGTGATGCAGTCTGAGAGGGGTTTGCTAAATTCTTGAAGTCTACCCAACAGTATAACCCTAAGACTTAAGGTGCTCTGACATAGTACTTAGGAGGTCCTGGCAACCCCTATAGGCTCAGACTCTAAACTCTGATAGCCCTCTGAACCAGTAACGCCCCAAAGGTCCCAAGGAGCCCCCAAACCCTGTAAAGGTCTAAACTCCTCGTTTTCCTAGGTTCGGCCCTGGTAGCTCACGGACCAAACGCTGGAGATGCGGTTTGGCAAGGCACGCCCCGCGATTTCGGCATCTGGGATTGAGGGTCGAGGGCTCGGGGTTTGTCGGGTTTCGGCTGCTGAAATCTCGTGCTTAAGGGTTCAGGGGTTTGGGGTGCTCATATGTTGGTATGTGGTTTCGGGTTTCGGGTGTTGCTGATATACAAGGGTTGCATGCTTCACGTGTTCGACGGAGGCTTTGGACTTCGGGCTGAGGGCAACTTTTCAAGTGACTCAAGTTGTTGCCTCGGGTTTCGCAGTTCGGTCAAAGTTCGGCATTCCGGCCGTTAAGATTCGCTGACATCTTGGGGAGCCTTCGGGGGCTTTGGAAATCCTCGACCACAAACCCGAAAAGCCAGCAGCCTTGTAAACGCCCATAGTAGCTTCAAGCCACAGAAGCCCTTGCAGCCGCAGGCCAAGCCCTGTGCCTTAGCCGCATGCTGCTACACAAGTATGGAGCTCCTGCCTACCTGTAGGAAGCAAACCTCAACCAGACCAATCGATTGCAACCCTACGGCAAGCTTGTAAAGAAGCTTGCATTTACCGCCCTATGAATCACCAGTTGGGCCGCATACCAACTCTATAGTAAGCCTATCCCTATACTCGACCCTAAACCCTAAAACCCTGAAGCCCTTAATCCTAAACCCAGCTACTCTCTCGCCAGGCCGGAACTTGGATTGGGACCTCGATGCATCCCTGCTTGAGCGATCCGGCAGCAGGAAGTCAGTTGCAGGGGAGGCTCAACAGTTGGCATCTTTTTCTCCGGGTTCCAGGATTCAGAATTTGAGGTTGAGGGTGTAAAACTTCAGGGTTTAGGGTTTGGGGTCTGGGATTTGGGGTTCAGGATTTAGGGCTGAGGGCTCGACATTTCTTAAGCTACGTCTTCCTCGGTGCTATGGCGAGGCTTTAGGCCTTGATCGGTCTCAATACTGAGTGTCATGATTTGTTTTTTGGGGGTTGGTTTGGTTTAGGGCATGCTCATGGGGCCTGGGATTCAGGGATAGGATGGGTCGGTTCAGGGTTTAGACCTTCAGGTACGTTGTGGAGGTGGACTACCAGCGCGGTGGCAAGACGGCCTTCACGGGAGTGCAGGCCATGTGAAAGCTTACGGGCCTGCGATCATTTTAGAGGCCTGAACAGTCAGTCAGGAATCCCATGCCTTAAGGGTCCTACAGTGTCGAGATCCTGAGAATCCATCCAAATATTCCGGAGCTAAGCATAAGCCCTCAAAGAGAACCCCCCGACCAGAACCCCCAAGTCCCAAGAGACCCGACCGCTGCACCGCTCCTGCTCAACGGATCCTCAGCATTTACGTAACATGATGTAGAATTTCAGCATTAGCAATTTCTATTGATGATTGTTCACGTATCCCTCAGACACGTGGCGTCTGCTCCAACGCTACAGGCAAGCAGCAAAAGAGCCCACTGCCACCGGCTGAAGAATTCGGAAGAGCCCTGCAGACTCCCCATCTCTCATGTTCTGCGTGAAGGTTGCTGGCATGATCGGGATCCTTCATGGCGTGTACGGGGGCAAGTTCTCCGCTCCTTGACACCTCTATGTGTTTGTGGTTTGTCACGCCCGCAGCCACCCAAAGGCCTACAAGCCCGAAGTTCTAACTGCTGTTTCTAGTAGGCATTGAGGGCGTGAGTTTCCAAAATTGTCTGGGTTTTCGTATAGCCCGGCCAAAACCCAGACGCTTGAGGGCATGCTCGGTTGAGGATTCCTACTTGGGGTCGTCGATTCCCGAAATCTGTGAAGCTCCACAAGACTGGCACGGTTCCTACAGGCAGAGACGAAGCTTCCTGGACCCTAAACTCTAGAATCCCGAGGGCGGACGGGGAGGGCTCCCTTGGAAACCCCAAGCCCCGAAAGGTCCTACGCGGCTCGAAGCTCCGCTGGAAGTTTCGGGTCTAGGGTTTAGGGGTTTCTGACGGGCTGCAAACCTTGCTCGAGCCAACGAAGAATCGACTTCGTTTCAGTCCATATCACTGTGGAGCAGACTTGAGGACTCTAAAGTTTCTAGATGCCATGAAACCCGAACCCCCAACTCCCACAACCTGCACTAAACCCTAAACCCATAGACCCTAAACCCTATAAGTTGATGGAGCCACTTAGGGCTTGACCCCTTCCGGCTTCCAGGTTCAGCTCAACGCACGGGATCGCGGTGGCAGCGTCATCGTGAATCTTTTGGAGGATGGAGAGGGTGATTTCGAGAGTTCAAGGTCTTGGGTTGTTAAGGGTTGACGGTTTGGGTTCGGCTTAGGGCGACGGGTATTATACGCCTGGAAGTATATAGATTAGGTAAACTTTACCTTTTTGGGGTACGATAACCCGCATTTACTCCCCAAGGTGAACCTTTGGTTCCCCCAGGATACTGGACTTCTAAGGAGGGTTTTGCAGTTGCAGATTTCCTGGGCAACACTCGGGCTGCTCGTAAGGCTGGCTAACTGGTTACCGGCTTCTTATGCATGCAGGAGCTTAGCCTGAGTCGTTGAATAACCCATGATCTAGGTGTAGATAGTCTATTGTAGGCTTTCCTGAGTATGGCAACTTAAACTCAGACGCTAACAAGGAAACACAACTGGGTTTCTTTCGTCCTGTGTTGCAGGTTCTGGCTTTGCTGCCTTGTGGGTGCAAAGATTTTGGTGCCATCCCGAGCTCCAGCAACATCCTGGACCCGGAAATCCCGAAACCCTAATCCAGAATCCTACACCGTCGACGAGCAGACCCCGAGCACTTGAGAGACTCATACTGTTTGCAGGAGATACTTCTTGGTGGCAAGACTCCGACGCATGTCATGCGCAAGGCCATGGAGACCGCGAAGGACTCAGTCTCGGGTCCTTCCAAAGGGGCATTTGTTGGTTGGCGGGCTTTCGAGCCTTTTATATTACGTCACACCTTTTGAGCTTGCCCGGCTGTGCTTAAGTCTGTCTCCGTCGGTATCGTATGTCTTTGTTCTACCGCAACTAAATGCAAGAGCGTCCTTCAAGCTACGCGAGAAAAAGAGACGCTGCTTCCCCCAAGCCCCTGCGGCTTCCTTCTGAAAGATTCTTGGGGTCTGCGGCTTGGGGCTCTAAGGGTTTAGGGTTTGGGAGAAGCGTCCTTCAATCCCAAAGACATCCAGTTGCTCATAGAGTAGCTTGTCCTCCTTGAGCCTTACTGGCAATTCCATTTTGTCCAGCGACCCATTGCATTGCAGAGGAAACCGAGCTTCTGAAGACCCTTGAACTGTTGGTCACCGAACCCCTCAAGCTGGGCATTGGGGGGGGGGGTTTGGGGGGGTTAGATGTAGAGTTTAGGTTCGGGGTTCAGGGCTAGGATTACTGAGTTATTACAGACTCATGGCTGGCATTCTAGCTGCTGAGCCATTGGAAATGGAAATCCTTGTGCGTGCAAAGAAAAGCCCGGAGGACTTCGACCACTTCGAGCATCCCGGGCATGCAGCAAGCGGTCGGGTTCACAGGCTTTGCACGGCTCGGGATTGGTTGCGGAGACTGGTTCGAGTTTTGGGGTAGCCGTACCAGAGATTTTCAAGACTAAGCCAACCCTGAAATTCGAACGTGAGGCTTGGAGCACCCAGCTTGCAGAGATTTGGGTTTGGTGTCTTGGGGTTTTGGGGTCAACGGTTCTTTGCTCGGGGGCCCGCTTTCGTAAATCTCTACAGGCCCACCGTTGTATCGGTCTTGGATGTTTCGGGTCTTTTGGGGCCAACAATTGAAGGATTTACAAGCCGGAGGGGCAGAGGGAGGTGTTTTGAGCCTCTGGTTTCCGACGCTCAGGCTCTTGCTGCTGTCAGAGCGCTTGGCGAACCCTGCCTACTTCATCGTCGCCGGCGCGCAGCATGGTCAGGCGGGTGTGGAACTTCAACCCTTGGACCAGCGATCAGGATCGGTTCGTTCGAGGGTCAACAAGCTAGCTTCTTGAGGAGGGCTTTGGATATGGACTCTACTTCGGGTTTAGGATAGGGTTTAGAGCTCCAGCGCTCACCCGGAAGTCGTGTCCTGCGCTGGCCACAGCAGAGACGAACGTGATGCAAGCTGCAAGCCAGCAAGCTTTAAATCTCAAGCCCTAACTTGGCCTGAGCCATGGTACCTGCTGGCCCTAAGTGAGATGGGCCCCCAATACAGACCCGTAGGATCAAGTGGCGTTAAGAAACCGCAATGCTCTGGACATTGTTCAACTCCATTTCCCTCAACACCAACAAATGCGGGAGGCCTTGAAGCAAACTAGAAGCAGAGTGAGAGCAGCGAGCGAGCTCTTGTGAATATACATGTTGCAAGAAGAAGGTCCCTGTTCGCACCTTTTGAGATAGAGCCCTTGTGGTTTTCAATAGTAGGTGTATGGCTCATGGGATAGTCGAGGGTCTGGGTGCACTTCTGCCTTACACGCGGCCGAAAACCTGGCACACAACCGGAAAGCATACTGACCCAAACAGCCGAAAGATTTGGATTTGAACTCGAAAAACATAAAAATCCTGAACCCTTGAACCTTAAACCCCAAACCTCGAAGCCCCAAAGCCTTAAAGCTCCAAAACCGTAAACTCCCAACAACAGCGAACGTTAACCTAAAACCACTGAGCCCCAGACCTTTCTAAGGGTGAAAACCCTAAACCCATCTATACCCTAAGCGCCTAAACCCGAAACCCCCAAACCCTAAACCCCTTAAACCCCTAAAACCCCTTGAGCCCTTAAACCCCTAAGCCTGAGACGCCAGGGTGGCATCATCACCCGCTCTCGCCACGGCGGCCACGCCTGGCGCCTTGGGGAACCGCAGGCGGAAATCTAAAACCAGGGTTAGGGCTTATAGGGGTTTAGGGTTTAAGGGTTTAGGGTTGAGGGGTTTAGGGGTTTAGGGTTTAGGTAGGGTTTAGGCTTTCGGGTGTAGCTTTCAGCCGGTCAACACAACAGCGCTGTTGTTCGGCAGTCTTGAGGGGGTTCTTGAGGGCAGGCGTAGAATGATTCGCATTTAATAGTACGCCTGTTGGACGCGCCCGATTGCGGCACGAGAGTCCGACACAGAACAGAACAGAAACAGTACCCATAGTACCCTTGTTAATTTTAGGTATTACAACATGATACCACAGCAAACCGTGTAAAATCCTCCATAACTGTTACAAGCTGCTTTAATTAGTCTTCGTCGAAGCCTTGCTTTCGGGTCCAACGTTCTGGTGTCACACCGGGCTGGGTTGAACATTTCTGAATTTCTTTGCACAATACAAAAAAAGATTTGGGGAAACATAACAACAATTCAAAATTTCAACATTTCAACATGGTTTTTTGTTTTCACGAAAGTCAGGTCATGTGTGTGTGTGTAAAGTCTTTTTGAAGGAGCGAGTTGGGTCTGTGATTTTGCAGTGGTTTTTGTGTGTTGTGAGTTTCTGTGCGTCAGGGTTTGCTGGTGTGAGCACTTTTCAAGTTTTCTTTCGTGGCTAGGCTGCTAGAAATCTCTGGTTAAGGTGCTGTAGTTGGTAGACCCCTGACCAAGGTACCCCCTCCCTGAAAACTAAACTCTCTAAAGCCCCGGAGGAGGGTTAAGTCTCTGTCAGAGGCCATGGACCCGCACGGCCTCAACCCGCATCTTGGCGGCTCCGATGCTCTTTTTTGGACTTCGAGCCTGGGCTTTGGTGTTTTAGGCTTAGGGGCTGAGGGTCAAGTGTAGGGTTAAGGGTATTGGGTTATGGCTTTCGGGTTTGGGGTCTAGGGTTTCAGGGTTCGGGGTTGAGGCTGTAGGGTCTCTGGTTTCAGGGTTTAGGGATTTGGTTAAAGGGGTTAAGTCCAGGGGCGACCATGTATGGACGAAGCCACGGATGTCGCGTTTCTGGCTGACAAGGTGTGAACAACACGTCACGCAGACTTGAGAAGATTTTGGTTTAAGCTCTGGAAGCAATCTAGTTCCTTGCTTCTGGAGCTTGAGATCTGTGGTCCCTCCTACTATGAAGTTGTAGGCTCCCTACGCTGAGAACGAGAAGCCCCAAGCGCATGTCCCATTGTCTTCAACAATCTTGGAGAGGCTGAGCAGTGTGACTATGATTGCTCTATTGTGGTTATACCTGTTTCTGCTACGATGATAGGTTGCTGAGATGTTCACTTCGCTCCTGTAGGCAGCCAGACTGGTTCCGCCTGCAAACCAACTACGACCCTTGGACAGCCACTTGCCACACGGAAGAGTCAACTTGTTGGGACCGTAAGGTTCACCCAAAATCCCACACCGGGAAACCCGAAAGCCCTAAACCCTGAAACCCTAAAGCCTTAAACCATGAACCCTTCCGGGTTCAAGATCCCACCATATTGGCTGGAACATCCGAAGTTCGCAATCATGTTCCCACCACCATCCCGCAGATATGTTGGTGTGCGACTAGTCTTCCTGCCACTGACGCCGCAGTGCCGTGCAGTTTTCTTTGAGCGCGCCTCGTGTCTCGATTTTGATCTAGATACAGCTGTGCTCTGCATTCCTTGTTCCGGAAGGCTTCCTGTAAGGGTACCATGCAGTCTAGAGCATTCAAGAAAGCAGCTTGGGTTTAACTATGGGAATGCAAGTTAGGGTCTCAGGCTTTAGAGCGCCTAGGGAACCTTAGTAGTCAGTCGAAAGTACACAAGCGCCGAGACGTGGAACGGCCGAGAACGCCTAACATGTGCAAGTGCTACCACACTGCTAGGGACTTTCTTGAACAGCCTTACTGTAACCAATTCAGGCCCTACCTATCTCCAACTGGTCATCCCCAAACATCAAAAGTTGGACCGACATCCCGCATTTCTTACAGCCTGCATCCATCTGCCTCTTCCTCGCCCTCCACAAATCCTTAACTTCCGGGCTCTAGCCCTCGCTGACAGTTCGACACCCCAAGAGTCCGAAACCCTGAATCGTAAACCCAGGCCGTCCCGGCCTACGACAACCGACGCAAGCCGGGCGTGGCCAACGCGGCTGACTTCTGCAGCAGCTGCGGCGAAAAGTAGCTGACCACGTGATGTAAGGAGTAGCCTCGGAATAGCAGCTTCTGACTCCTGCAATTGTATTTCTTCCCAAACTCCACACCCCATGCTACCTTGAAATCCAGATCAAACCGATACCTTTTTTCCTAAACCCTAGACCCTGCAGGGTCATTTCTATGACCTGTCTCCTTAGAGCGTTTGCAAGTAAGGCAAAGGTGTGGATGTGGAGTGCATGACCAAGGCCTGCTGCGCGGGTTTGGGGTTGGGGGGGTTCGGGGCTTGTTTTTACTAGTACTACTTTTATCACTATTTTTGTTATTATTACCATTATTACTATTATTACCATTATTACTAGTACTATTATTAATTTTATTTTTTTATATTATTATTACAATTATTCCTATCATTACTATTAATACTATTATTACGATTATTATTATTATTATTACTATTATTACTATTATTACTATTATTACTATTATCACTATTATTACTATTATTACTATTATTACTATTATTACCATTATTACTATTATTACTATTATTACTATTATTACTATTATTACTATTAATACTATTAATACTATTAATACTATTACTAGAATTATTCTTATTCTTATTATTATTAATATTATTATTATTATTGTTATTATTATTGCTGCGATCATTATTTAGTGCTTCAGGGTTTGGCGTTCAGCTTCGAGCTTCGGTCTAGTTCGTGAGTTTGACTTGCAGGGCCAGCGGGCTTTGGCAAATTTATCGAAAGCTTGCCTGGAGGTTCAGGGCTAATTGGGGCTTCCATGTGACCTAGCTGCGGCTGTCTAACTCACATCTCGTTTTTTTTGTGTTTGTGGCAGCTGCGGTTAAGGGTTGAACGTTGCCTTTTTGATGAGTAGGGGATGAGGAGGGAGTGTCGGGTCCACCCTCACGTGAAGAGGCCTTTTTGAAGGCTCACAGGAGTTACTGGTAGCAGGTGGGTGGTAACTACAGGGACGGAGTTAGCTGAACCCCGCAGTTCGGATACCTTATAGCCCCTGAGTAGGTCCCATGCACCTTCCAGCAGAGCTTGGAACTCCAAGCTGCATACCCAAACCTTTGGGTTTTTGGAGAACCGAGCGGAGCCCAGGGTCGAAAACTTGGCAGGCCTGGTTGGGCTTAGGGGATTCTGATGTAAGAGAAGTTTTCCGGGGTGCGGTTTCGCAAGCTTGATGCGCGACTCGGAGATTGCAGGTCATGACCACGTGGCCCACCAAGAACCACCACACGGACGTCACGTCGGTGATGTGCCCACGCACAGGCTTCATGAGTGCCCCGGCCGATCTTGTAAGCTTTCGAGTCCGAAGTCCATGAAGGAGACCTTTAGCATGAAGTTCGCAGGGCTCGCTGCCTCGGGGACTGCATGAAGACCTTACGAAGACCTACGAAGAACATGGGTTCGTGTAGATTAGGGGGGAGACAAATAGGAAGCCATCATGGCTTTGGTCACACCGCAGCTGACCAGACTGCTTCAGGTTTAGGATTTCGTGTTGGGGCTGAGGGAGGCCGCGTTTTTCTCGGCGGTTCGCAACACTGCCTGAATCACAGAACCTCAGACAGCGTCCTGGAGCCAGCACTCTAAGCCTTACTGTAATTCTCATACCTACTTGACGGCTCGTTGCTATTTCCAATAATTGCTACAACTACTGCGTATGTCATCGCGCGGATGACACTTGTCAGCCTAACCTGACTCTACGCATCCATGATTCTTCAAGTAAGGTTTAATGTAAAAACCTGATTAAGGAACCTTGGGCCTTTATTAGGGTTCCTCACATGAATCCGACTATTTTGGGGTTGTAGGCCCAGGGTTTCCTAATCAGGTTCCTGCATTAGTTCCTCTCTTGAGGCACCTCGGTCTGGCAACATGCACCCGCGGCTGAGACGATGGTTGTTTAGGGTTCTGCGGCTTCACCGTGTTGTAGGAGAGTCGCGGGCCAAAGGTTTCGTCGATTGACGATGTTTCAGGGCGTCCGTCTATTCTAAGCCTGATATGAGAGTTTCAGAACAACAAGAACCCCACCCCCCCGAATAAAGAAGGCTCCTATCAGAATCTCTTTCAGAAGGCTACCCACGTTTTCTGGAACGCTCATCTGTTGCCAGGCTTAGGGTTCCCGGTTGCGATGCCAAGAGCTGTCGACAAAGGGCGTTTGAAAAAGGTCCGGGCGACGGCGACCCACCCCTGGGCCCTTATCCCCTGAGCACTGAAAGCTTCGTTGCGGTTACGGCTGTGGGTGCCAAGATTTGACATTACGCTCCTCCTTGAAGGTTTAAGCTGTAGCTGAACCTTGAACCCTAGACCCAAAACAGCGTCACTTCAAAAGAGACCAACCCTAGTGCCTCAAGTTAAGATCCTGAAGCCTGACAGAGAACCCCTGGCTTCAAGCCTGCAAGTTCACCAGCCAGGCGAGAACTCCTCGACCCTAGATCCATGAGCAAGCTAGGCTGGTGATTTTTTACTAAGCTCTAATCCTTCGGGGTGCAGAATCTCAGACCAGTTTAGTATGGCGGGTGATACAAAAATTGTCGCAGTGGCTGATCCAACTTACTTATTCTGAAACGTAGTGAGGCTCTTGGATTCTGCAGTTTACAATCACAAAGGCTAATGGACGCAATCTGAAAGCCTGCATGGGGTTTCGTCCCCTTGGCCTCCTCCCAAACAACACAGAGTCACGTGCCTCCCTGACAGAAGAACCCCAACGCAAGCCTCTAGTCTAAACCCTAACCCCAACATCCCAAAGCATCCGGCAGCCGCGACATATCGGGCACATCGTAGAGTCTTGCTGCCGCCAGGCAACGAGGGCACGGCACCGCGGACGATCCATGACCGCCGGGTTGTTGGGTCAGCTTGAGGATGTGGAGTTGAGGGTTCAAGGTTCAGGGCAGTGGTTTGAGGCCTACCTTCAGGAGCAGTCCGTTGTTGCTCTCTGCACCGCTAGAGGTTAGGGTTGCAGCCCTAGGTCTCCCCCTTGATTTCTAGATACCTTCTTGAGTCGAATGCTGGAAGCACCTAAGGACCTACGCCCGACATCCCATGAGGCTCCTTAGCGCACCAGAGCCCCCCAACTACTCCAAATCCCAAAATCCTTGACCCTATGTCTCGCTGAAGCTCGCCGCGGAAACGAAAAAGATGCAACCAAGGCGGCTTAGTATAGGGGCCTTAAAATTAAGATTATAGTACAATATGCGCTGATGTTCAACTCCGCGAGATTTCCATGTACAGCTTCTCGATGACTGGTCCTTGAAGTTTGATCCGATGCTAGAACACGAAGCTCACCCCGAAACCATATTCTACTTCTTAGGCCCCCACCCCCCCAAAAAAAACCCTGAACCCTCAACCCTCAACTCCATTCTACTTAACAGGCCCTTGTAGCAAGCCTTGCTTCCGGCCAGGAGATCTACCGAGTCTGCGAGCAGGCGACTGGCAAGATGCCGCCTTAAGGATTTGAGGGCTTTTGGACTTTGGGGTTTTGGGGTATTGGAGGGTTTGGGGTTTGGAGGGTTTGGGGGTATTTGCGGGTTGTGCCTTAAGGATTTGAGGCTTAGGACTTTGGGGTTGTAGGCTTGGGGGCTTTGGGGTTTGGAGTGTTTTGGGGTCTTGGGGGTTTTGTCGTCAGGATTTGAGGGCTTTGGGGTCTGGGGTTTTGTAAACCTTCCTTCCACAGGGCATATGTAAGGCAATCATAATCGGGCGATAGGAACCCCAAGAACTGAGGGTTTGGTCAGGTTGTGGGGGGTCCAAGATCCTGAAAGTGAGCATGAATGGGAAGACGCAGGGCTCCGACCGGTTCACCTACACGGTGATGGGTTCTATGCTGGAGCTGCTTCTGGACTGCAAAAATAAAGGGGTTAGTTTTTAGCTCGAGGGTTCAGAGCCTCCACTGAAGGCTGTGCAAGCTTATTTGGGTTTTTCTTTGCTACTTTCCGTTGCAAATATTGGGTTCAAGTTCCCCACCAGGTTTGGCGTTTGTCTTGGGATCCATGCACCTAGCATACAAAAAGGGTATGCAGCATACACAGCACAGCACACTCCAACTGGTGATTCAAATCCGCGTGCTTGCTAAGTCCTACAAGCAGGGGTTTGGAGGTTCGGTTGCCTTTATCAGCTTCCGAGGTTCAAGCTTACAGGTGCAGGCTAATAGAAAATGCTCCTGGCGAGAACTCAGAACATGCAAACCTTTGAAATCAGCCGGTACATTGTTGTCGCAAGCCGGCCTTCTTTCAACGGTACCTGTGCTAATTGATGAGCGTCGTTGTCATACAGGGTTCGGGGGTCCGGTTTTTAGTGAGGTCGCTGTCGGGACGATTGGCAATTTTCTTCAGTGCTGCACGGATTTTCTGTAGACAGGATACCACGATGCAGGATATCCACATCCGGCGTCCTTCGCCTATGTGCTAAAATCAATCCCCGCACTCCATGGGCAGCATGCAAGACCCTATGATAAGATTCAATGAATGTTGCGACCAACCCCAAAAGCATGCAACCCCCGAAAGCATGAAACCGACTAGTTTGTTCAGTATCCCCAACCCCCCCAAAAAGAAACCCTAGAGGCCCCCAAAATTGCGAGAAGCCCCAAAAACCCAAAGCACTCCAAGGTATTGCAATGCCATCGTCGACTTGCTGGCCAAGGGCAACCCCAGCCCGGCTCGAAGCGGAGTGGCTTTGGGTTTATTTCGGGTTTGGGGTTTCGGGTTTAGGGGGTAGAGGTTTAGGGTTAAGGGTTTATGGTAGCTACCATCGTCTATAGTTGAGGTTTTGGAGGCTTTGCCAAGCCAAACAGCTGCCTTTGCCAGGTTGCAAAGGCCTCTGAAGGATTTAGTCACAAGGAGTAAGACATGCGAACTTCATGGCTTAAAGGCTTCCAGGGTTTGTCGCCCAACAGGATTGGCTTCAGAAAGCTGCCACTAAAAGCAGTGGGCCCCAGCAGAAGATGCCACACCCCTAGCTTACCTTAAGCTCCCAACAGTTCCCAGCTTAGCTGATGACCTAGATTTTCAAATCCAGGCCTCAGCACCACAACGCAGCTGAAACCCCGAAGTCGTCTAGCCCCTATTGCCTGGAGTTCCCATCTCCAAGGCAGAGCACTGATTGGTTGCGTGCCTTTGGGATAGTTCGTTTCAAATTCAGGGAAGTACGGTTTAGCAGATGAGGGCAATTCGCGGGTCTGCGATAAGACTTGCATGTGAAGCTATTCGAAATAGAGCAACGGGGCTGCAAGTTTTGAGACCTTGGCTGTGGGGCTGTATATAAGGGTTCTGGCTCATGGTGGCTCCGGTTCGCCCTTCCTTCCGCAAAGGACCACTGATGGGGACCCGGACCGGCTTTAGGTTTAGGGTTTTGGGAATATACTATACTACTATACTATCAGTACAAGAAGGAGCCCCCAAAATAGTATAGGTAATTATTAAGGCTCCAATATTTCTAATTAGAAGGTTAGAGAGGCCAGATGTCGGGTTTTGGGTTTTAGTTTCTACCACCTGCTGCTCTCGCCGAGATCAGTCGAAAGCGAAGCTCAACATCCGCCAGGAGAAGAACGGATCGGCGGCACCCCCAGAGAAAGCAAATATCATTAGTATAAGTGTTAAAGCCACTATAACTTGTGTGCTAGCCCAAAGACCAAAGACCTGCGAAAGCCTAAACCGCAAGAAGCCCCAAACCCTAAGAAACCGAGGGGAGAGCTCAAAGCATCGAACCGCAAGGTTTCGATTCTTTGAGCCATTGGAGCCTTCGGCCCGGCCTCAACATCCACGGCGGCAGGGATAAAGCAAGCGAGTCTAAATGGGGGTTTGTGAGGGTTTCGGGGTCAGGGCCGAAAAGGTTCGAATCAACAAAAGGCGTGCGTGACTGACAGGCCAGTACTGGTCTCATTCTTAAACGGACATCAAGGAATACCAGCATTGATTATTCCGACCCTTATGCCGACCGCAAGCCACTAAGCCCCAAGCTTCTGAACCGAACCCATAAAATCCCTACAACCATGTATAAACCTTTGCCAACCTTTCTACGTTCATAGCTTTAAGCCCTCGGCCCTTGAACCCCGTAAGCCTAAAATCCCGAACTTTGCCCAACCCTTCGGCTCTAAACACGCATGGAACCTGCTCTCGCCCAGCACCCTAAAAGCTGGAGCCCAAAACCCTAAACCCTAATCCCCAAACCCCACAAACCCCCCAAACCTCCCAAACCCCCTAAACCCCCTGAACCCCCTGAACCCCCCAAACCCGCTAAACCCCTAAGCTCCCTAAAACCCCCTAGAAACCCCTAAAACCCCTAAATTCCAAAGGTTTACATGGAGGGCCTCACCGAGGAGCAGTGTCCGAAGCCCAGCGGCGCAAAGGAGCTCTTGCCCTTAAAGGAACCCTTAAAGGAACCCTTCAAAGGAACCCTTGAAGGAGCCTTGAAGGGCTGTTATTTTGGGGTTTGGTATATGGCTTTAGAGTTGTTTTATATAGGTTCGTTGGGGTTTGGCGTTGTTTAGGGCTTCCGAAGTTTAGGGCTTAGGCTTAGGTGTTCAGGGGTTAAGGCTGGGTTTAGGCGTAGTGTGCAGGGGTTTAAGGGTTTAGGATTAGCGGTTTAGTTCGTCTAGGTTTAGCAGCAGTTGCCCACATGCCGGGTTGAGCCAATTCAGGCTTTCAGTTTCATAGCGGCCGTGGAAGAACATCTTCGACTCCCAACTGATCTCGGAGGAAGTGCTGAGTCAGAGCGAAACGACGACGAGGATCAGCCATGGTGCCCCCAAACTTTTAAGGCCTTTCTTCAGATGGTCCAGACCGCTTAGAATCCTCCGATGAGAACAGCATGCGCAAGACAATCGTTGAAGCTCGTGCATCTTTCCTTTAAGTCTCCGTGCCTTCACATGCCCACACCAAAATGCAGCTTCCGAGTTTAGAGTATAGCTAGG